TTCAGGCCTCGCTGCACCACCCGAGCTCTCTGGCAGCGCCAGGCCTTTCGGTATCTCCTGCCCACCCCGAGCACCGAGACTCCAGGTTAGGGACAGGTTCTCGTCAGCACAGCGTCATGACCACACATCTGAGGCATGCTCACCGACTGTGGACACCCGTGTCCCCCGCTCCCCTCCACCCGAGTCCTTGTGTGACTCGCCCCCACCCCCCTCTCCTTCTCCCAAGGTCACCGCTGTGCTGACCTCGGGTGTCATCGCTCAGTCCCGCTCAGTCTTGTACACAGTGCCCCACCCCCGTCCGCGGTGTTGCCTTCCGGTTTCAGTTGCCCATGGTCAACCACAGTCTGAAAATATTAAATAGAAAATCCCAGAGATAAGCAACTCATACGTTTCAGATCACATGCCACTCTGAGTGGCGGTGAATTCTCCCACCCTCTGGCTGTGCTGAGTCCCAGCACAGGGCGTCAGCAGGCTGGTTGCCCAGCAGCGGCTCCGCGAAGGAGCCGCTGGAGACGCTGAACATGCGCTGGGCTCAGGGCATGTTCACATCCAGGCCTCAGTGGAAGGGCTGTGTTCAGATTCCAGACACGCAAAGGCCACAGGAGCCCACTCCACGACCCACCCCCAGGAGACGCGGAGGGACTGCACTGAGCTGGACAGCAGGCACTGGCTGGTGCAAGGGAGCGTTTGAGAGAATAACCTCACTGGAAAGGTGAGCATCGGCAACGGTGCTAGATCCGCCACTGACAGAGCTGGTGAGAAGGTTAAAAGGCACGAGTAGGAAAAGTGACCGTAATTAGGACAGTGATGTCCAACCACAAGCTCTGGGCCGGGAGGGGCGTGCTGTGGCCTGGGAACAGGATGAAACAGTTGTTATCCACTTAGAATAGAACTAGGCTGCTACCTGGGAACCAACAGGCCCACAAACTGAAGCACAAGGCACACGAAGGAGGAGCGATCAGCACCACTGAAGAAAGTCATCAAACCTCGAGGAGGACAGCCAGGAGGGAGGAGAGAGGAGGCTCCAACCTGCAGGAGCTGTGAAGGACTGACTTGCAGCGGTGCACACCACCAATAAACACTTTAAATGTGAATGGACTAGTTCTCCAATCAGAGACAAGTGGCGGATGAGTAGAAAAACAGGGCCCACCTACACGCTGCCTGCAGGCGACTCATTGCAGGTGTGAGGACACGCAGACTGAAGGGAAGGGATGCAAATAGAATCAAAAGGAGGTTGGAGCAGCTGTATGCACAGCAGAAAAATCAGCTTTCAAAACAACACTGTAATGAGAGACAAAGACAGGAGTTACAGAGTGATACAGGGGTCAATCCAAAAGAGGACCTAACATCTAAAATAACAAAAGCATAATATGCTAATTAGACCAGACGTCCTTCTGGACGTCCCTCTGGACAACCTTCCAGACGAAGCCGGGGCCAGAGGAAAGCCGGTGCTGGCAGCCAGGGGAAGGAAGGTCTACTCTTGCATGAATTTCGTGCATAGGCCTCTAGTTTGTAAACATGTACGCACTCAACACAAAAGCACCTGAATATATAAAGTAAATATTAACAGACCTGAAAGAAGAAACAGACAGCAATACAATAATAGTGGGGGTTTTAATACCCACCCACTTACATCAATGGACAGATCATCAGACAGACAATCCACAAGGAACCGTCAGCCTTAAAGGACCTCACACCACATGGACTTATATACAGGATATCCCATCCCAAAGCAACAGAACACACATTCGTTCTCAAGGGCACAGAACTCATTTTCCAGGATAAAACATATGCTCGGCCACAAAACAAGTCTTAATCAATTCAAGAAGACTGAACTCATATGAACCAACTTTTTGAATCAAATGGTATGAAACCAAAAATTAACTGCAAGAAGAAAACTGGAAATTTCACAAATATGTGAAGATTAAACAACATGCTACTGAATAACCAATGGGTCAAAGAAGAACTCAAAAGAGAAATAAAAAAGTGCCTGAGACGAGCAAAGATGGAAGCATGGCATGCCAAAATGTGCGGATGCCCAAAGCAGCTGTAAGATCATAGAGATAAACGTCGACACAGAAACAAGACTCAGACAACCCAGCGTTGCACCTCAAGGAGCTAGAAAAGGAAGAAAAAATAAAGCCCAAAATCAGTAGAAGGAAGGAAATAATAAAGATCAGAGAAGAAATCAATGAAATACAGACTTAAAGGGCAACAGAGAAGAGGAAAAGAGCTAAGAGCTGGTTCTTTGAAAAGATAAACAAAATGGACAAACCCATAGCGAGACTCAACAAGAAAAAAGATATTGGACTCAAATAAAATCAGAAATGAAAGAGGCGATGTTATAAAATATCACAGAAATACAAAGGCGTATAAGAGACTATGATGAACAATGATGTGCCAACAAACTGGACAACCTGGAAGAAATTATTAAATTCCTATAAACATTAACCCATCAAGACCAAATCAGGATTAAGCAGAAATCTGAATAGCCCGGTGACTAGTAAGGAGATTGGATCAGTAATCAAAAACCTCCCAACAAACAAAAGTCCAAGTGTTCCCTTAAAAATGGGAAGAAGATGGGAATAGACGTTTTTCCAGAGAAGACACGCAGATCGCCATCGGGTATGAGAAGATGCTCAACATCACGGATCATCAGGGAAATGCAAGTCAGAACAAGAGCTGTCCCTCACCTGTCAGGACGGCTGCTGCCGCAAGAAACAGTAAGTGCTGGTGAGGACGGGGAAGGGAGCCTGAGGTGGGGATGTGAACTGGTGCAGCCACGATGGAAAACAGTACAGAGGTTCCTCAACAACATAAGAGAAAGAGCACATGACCCAGCAATTCCACTTTGGGGTATATCTGAGGAAATGAAATCACTAACTGGAAAAGGTATCTGCACCCCCATGTTCACTGCAGCATTACTGACAATAGCCAAGATAGGGAAGCAACCTCAGTGTCCATGGACGGAGGAAGGGTACAGGAAATGCAACACATACACACACACACACACACACACTGGAATACTATACAGCCATAAGAAGAAATGAAATCTTGCCATTTGTGACAACTTGAATGGACCTCAAGGACATTATATTAAGTGAAAAAGATTCTTATATGTGGAATCTTTAAAAAACCAAACAAACAAAAACACAACCCAAGCTCACAGATACAGAGGAAGGAGTTGGGGGATAAAATAAATGAGTGCAGGGGATATAAATTTATTTTTAAAAATTTAAAAGAGAGTAACGAATGTAAGAGCTGGTTAATTCCGTTGAGAATTTAAAAAACCAAACAAACCCCAGCTCCTGGGCTCCAATCCTGGCCCCCCTCCCCCACCCCCCGCCATCCGTGGCCAGGACCACACGCAGGGGCAGTGCCGGTGAACTCAGACGCCCGTTCCCAAACGGTAAGCGGCTGATCTGACGTGCCTGCCTCGGGCGGACAGTCACTCTAGGATAGAGTCTATGAACAGCCCCCTTGGCCTCTGGGAACAGACGCACGGCGGCTGTGAAGGGCTCCAGCTGTCCTGTGTTTCTGAGAAAATGGAAGGATGCTTGGTGTTCTTTCGAGCCTGGTTCATGGGGTCACAGCTGATGTGACGTCAGGGGGAGTGGGGCCCCCCGTCACCGGGACAGTCAGAAAGGCCAGCCCCGCCGTTCGCTCACTTCGGCCCCTTCCACAAACCAGGTCCTCTGTGCTCGTCCATCACAGCTTAATCCCTGGGATGGAAATGAGGCCGAGATTCGATTTCCCGGGAGCTTCATTAGAAGGAGGGAAATTGAATTTACCCAGGACGGGAGGAAGCGGTTGAATGAGGAACATGACCGGTGATTGAATTTGGGTCCCTGCACGCTCCCTGTGATTTGATTCTGACCCACGGACCCAGCACCCAGACGGCACAGGCCTGCCTTCCACGCAGACGCCGGCATCTGCGGGACCAGCCGGTGGGGCATCTGCGCTGAGGAACATGTGGCCAGCTCGCTCCTCAGGCAGAACCGGGTCCTGGAGGGGGGCGGGGTCCTCAGCCGCCCCTGACAGCTGTCCCTCAAGCCCTCAGCACCCTCCCAGGGCAACTACCTCTGCTGTTCCTCTGAGATGATGAGGCCTCAGGCTGGGGACGCCGATGAGAAAGCGCCGGGCTGGGCGTCACTTCTGGAAGGAGCTTCCGTGGGGAGGGACCCGCAGCCTGGGGGACCCAGTCCTCGTGGCTGAGCTTCTGGCCCCGCCCTCCCCTCCATGGCGCCCTGTCAGGTCCTGCCCGCAGGGAAACCGCTCCAAGCTGGGTTACTGAAGAGGGAGTCCCCCCCGTGGAAGCCCCAGCAATGAGAGTTCTAAAGAGACACAGCGCCCAGTGCCAGGGCAAGGCAGGCGCTGCCCCGGTGCACGGCTGTGAGGGCACTGCCTTCGTCTCTAAAGAGCAATCTGCAATTATTCTGGGCTGAACTGTGTCCCTCCAATCCTGGTGCTGAAGTCCCAGCCCTGGGCCGGCAGAGTGTGGACAGAGGGCACAGGCGCCCGCCCCCTGCCCGTCCTCTGTCCTGAGAGGCAGGATGACCGCAGGGGCCCCTCGGCTTTGGGTGCTGACACAGGTGGAAGGCATCCCATGGAAACAGCCTCTCCTTGTGTGGCCCGGAGCAGCCCTGTGACCTCTGACCCCCACAGAAACAAGGCGTGTCTCCCTGAGTCTCCCTGGCAGGGAGGCCGGAGAGTAAACCTGAGCCCATGTGCACTCCCTTCCCTGCAGGTAAGGAAGGCCAGGCCCGCCGCCCTCTGATCACTGCTCTGGTGTTTAAGCGGAGACAGAGGCTCCTTCACCCTCTCCCCAGAGGCAGGAGCACTCCCACCCGGCCTCCCCATCTCTCCCCAATCAGATCGGAGCCTGCAGGGCTCAGTGGCCAGACACAGGCCCCGGACACAGGCCCAGACTTGGTCCTGGGACAGGCCTGGGAGAGGCTTTGGAGCCTGGCACAGCCAGGCCTGGGGAGATGGCGAGGCACAGGGGGCTGTGTCCAGCGTCCCGAAGGGGATTACAGAGGACAGCACCTCCCGCTCCCGCAGGGCGTACAGGAGGCCGTACAGGAGGCGGCGTGTCTCCAGCCGTTTCTGGGCGCGTTGGCAGGAACCTGCGGTGCCCCAGCAGCATGAGGGTTTGCTGGCTTCACCTCCTGCGCCCTCACACTTGAACTTGTGCTGAGCTGGCGGCAGGGGATGACAATGAGGGTCATTTTCCTGTTTCCTCGATGGCTGATGGTTTGGGCAGCTCCCATTTGCATATCAACCAGTCAGCTCCTCTTCCTTCCTTTGCCGTGTCACGCTTGGCCTGTCTGATGAATCTGCCTTTGCGTGTTGAAGTGGAGGCGTGCTCTCACGTCCTGTATACGATTCTTTGTCAGGTCCACGTGTTACGTGTTAACAATCTCTCTCCTCACTCTGAGCTTTCTTGTCACTTTGTTTATACAGATGAAGTTTTTAAAGTTTTAAATATGAAAAGAAATTAAGAAAAGAATTCCACTTGCAATAGCGTCAAGAAGGGTAAAATACTCAGGAATAAGTTTAACGAAGGAGGTGAAAGGCCTGTTCGCGGAAAACCATAAGACACTGACGACGACACGGCTGAATGGAAACCTGCCCCGTCTCGGATCGGAGAACCGACACGGTGAGCACGTCCTCAGTGCACAAAGGGACCACACGTTTAATACCATCTCTACCCAAAGGCCAATGGCATCTTCTTTCACAGCAACAATAAACAATCCTAAAATGAGTATGGAACCACAGAAGACCCTGCAGAGCCAAAGCAATCTGAGATAAAACATACACAAAACACTTCCTTATGTCACACTATATTGCAAAGCTATAGTCCTCAAAACAGTATGGTCCTGGCCTGAAAACAGGCAGAGACGATGGGACAGAACAGAGAGCCAGGAAGAGGCCACACGCCTACTGTCACCTGGCGTCGACAAGGGCCCTGGGCGGGAACACACAGCGAGAGGACAGTCTCCTCACAAACTGTTGGACAGACTGGACACGCACCTCGGCCCACACCGTCACCAACAGTGACTGCAAACGGACTAGAGAGGCGCCCACAGCAAGACCCAGGCCCAGGGGATGCCCAGCCCTCCTGCAACCTCCCCTGCCAGGACAGATGCCCTGGAACACGGCGCTCAATGACTGCTTCTGGATGAAGGAATCGCGAGAACAGCCAGCCACTCCAGAGCCCCTGGGACGAAACAACAACCTTCAGTGAGGATGTATTCTCCGCATCTTGTGACTTTGCTGGGGGAGGCAGGTGCTCTCTGGTGCCCAACAGGCATGGTTCGAGCCATAGGCCACAGGACTCAAGCAGGGATCTCCCGTCTGGACGCCCTGTCACAGCTCAGAGATGTAAAATGGGGCCCGATCCCAGCTTGCCAACCACGCACTCGACTCCCCTCGCAGAGGAGACCGCCGTGTTCCCAGAGGCAGTGGTGCACACGGAGACTGAAGTGCGTGCTCCGAGCAGGCCCGTGGCTGCCAGGCCCCGTGCCACTCGCCCACGTGGACCATCCCGATTCTGGTGGAACCGCCCGCAGGCTCCACTGGACTCTGCTCTAGGCGGGCGGGCACCTTGCCCGGGGTCTGCCTGATCCGGAGACCCCTGACCCTCCCAGGGGCCTGGCCCACCCCTGCCCCATCGCAGCCCACACCCCAAGACTCCGGAGCCGTGTCCACAGCCGCCTGCTCTCATGCCCCTTCTCCCACACTCCAAACAGGCATTTTGAACCTATTTTGAATCCAAAAGTAGGAGCGAATGCTCCAAATTCAATAACCAGCTTAGCAAATTCTGATCTGAGCCTGCAGGTCTTTAAAGTTTCAAACATCAGCCCAGCCAAACTCGAAGTGTCCGTCTGCATAACCATTTCATGTTGAATCAGGGAATCAGGAGAAATGAGAGCTATTAGTCTGCAGGATTCAATTGTTAACTTTACAAAACGAGGACTTCATTTCAAAATCTTATTTAACGATCTGACTTCCATCCTGGCCCGTTTCGTTGCATTTATTAGATTTCTGAGATAACTTGCACGATCAGACTCAATAGACAGAATAGAAATTCCGCAAAATAAGATTTTAGCCTTTGATACCGAGAGAGTCAGTTAGGCAGACGTACAAACGAGTCTCCCACTCGCAGCTCCAGGCGCCTGGCAGAGGAGCCCGGGAAAGAGCCGAGGTGGGTCCCACCCCACCTCCAACCCGGATGGACAAGTCTGACACGTAAACCTGGTTCCACGTGGCTTCTCACTGCGCATGGGAGCTGGCCCAGTGGCACCTCTGGGGGCCTGGCGTTCCTCGTGCGTGAAGGAGACCCGTGTTGTAAGCACCTCAGCACAGCCCAGGCCGCAGCGGTTTCTCGATGCCTGAGGGCTGAAAGGAAACAGATCCCACATCAACCTGCATGAGCAGTAGAAGGAAGTGCAATCAGTGCCCCTGCCATCGGGGGGGGGGGGGCCGTGGGCGCCCAGGCATGGAGACCGTGGGGGCAGAAGACGTGGGGGCACGTGCACACTCAGGTGGGAGACCCCTGTGTGCCTGCCACAGGACAGCCTGGAGGTGCCCGTCCTCGCTTCCCCCCCCCACACACACACACACACAGCTGTGTGACCTGGGACAAATTACTTGACCTCTCTGTGCATTATCAGAGCGAGTCAGGAGGAACAATGTGGAAACTCCACCTGGCACTGCCACGTTCCCCGGGTGCTCTTGGAGGCCTGCAGCCCTGGCAAAGCTGGGCACCGGTGTTGGGGAGGGGGCCACCCAGGGTAGTCCCTTTGCCCGGTAGAAGGCCACTGCGTGCAGCTCCTCTCCTGTGGGAACTGGGGCCAGGAGAGGAGGAGGCGGAGGAGAGCCCAGGAAACCCCGGGAGAGGCTGGCAGCTGGCCTTTCGCTGCACGAGTCACTGGGGAACCCAGGGAACAACGGGACCACAGGTGGTGATGCGCAGCCGCAGGGTCCGATCCTCACCCTCCCACAAAGATGCCATCTTCACTGTGAGTGGCTCAGGCGAGAAGCAATGCCCCGAAGTTAGAAACTCAGATGGGGCTGTTTCCAGCTTTAGTCAGACATTCCTGTCCCCACGTGGAGCTGGAAGTCCCATCGCACATGCTACACCGACCCTCAGTTCCCGCCGGAGCGCCTCTCGCCACGGCTGTCACCCACGCTCCCGGGACAGGCAGGCACACGGGGTGTGGAACGGCGACTACCTCCCACTTCCTCTGAGACTTACACAGTGAAGAGAACGGATACACCCCTTTTCATGTGCTTACCCTCGCAGCCTGGTCATCAGACGCCCCCAGCGAGGGGCTGCCTTCGGCCCCGGCCCCAGCCTGCGGCGCGTCCCGGGGCGGCTGCACTGGGAGAGGGACGGGGAGGCGGGCGGACAGACTGTCGATCTTCAGCAGCAGTTCATCCAGCAGGTCTGCAAACTCATCCAGGGAGGGGTTCTGGAGGGAGGAAAAGAGACTAGTACGGCCTCCAGGAGCCGAATCCCCCTCATTCTCTGAAGCCTTTCATGGCACTGACCTTAGGTGGCATGTGCTGTGTTAGGGAGCGCACGGAACCCACATCTCCGTGCCCTCACGCACTGCGTCATCCACAGGCGTGCACAGACCCTCACGTTGTACAAAGCGTGCACACCTGTCCCTCGTTCAGCACATCGCACAGGTGTGCATCTAGGCCAGTGGTCTCAACCTTGGCTGCACATTAGAATCACCTGGGAATCTTTTTAAAATCCCTATTTCTGGGCCTCATCCTCCGGAAATTCCGTTTCTTTGTTATGTACTATGTTGTGCCCCACCCCACAACAAAGAAACAGAATTTCTGGAGATGAGGCCCAGAAGTCCAGGATTTTAAAAAGATTCCCAGGTGATTCTAATGTGCAGCTAAGTTGAGAACCACGGATCTAAGTGCTAAGGCTCAGACACCCGCATGAAGGACTGTAAAGTGGACTTGGAGGCAGTCATCTACGGAAAGTGCGACAAGCAGCGAAGCCCACACACGCCCACTGCCACACGGGTGCGGCTGGCTCAGAGCTGCCCTGGGCGGCGCCGGAACGCCAGCCCTCGCAGCAGCTGGGCCCAGTGTGCACACACCTGCTTGTTCTGTTTGACTCGGGTCGGGGACCGACACTCAGTGGCTAAAAGGACAGAATAGGGCGTGTGCGATGGGGAGAATCCCAACGCCCCCCTTGCCGACCCTGCAGGGTCATTCGAGGATAGAGGAGTTAGTGGGGGAGCCTGGGCTTGTGAACAGTGATGCCTTTAGAACTGTCAGTAAAGGCCTGTGGCTTTGCAGGGATATTGGTGCAGAGTCACAGTCTCGCTTTGATACTAAAAGCAAACTTCTGCATCGAAACCGTCGCCTTGGACGGGCTCACTGATGCAAGCCCAGAGCTTACGTGGCGCGTGGCCGGCTCAGCCTCCTCCGGCGGCCGCCTCTCCAGCCCCAGCGCAGAGCAGGCCGCCCCCCACACATAGGCCATCACGTCTCCAAGTCTCACAAGAGATTGGCTTTGAAAAGATTTTCGTTTGGGAACAAAAGCCATGAGGGAACCTCTGAGCTGGAAAAAAGGAAAAAATAAAGACAAACTTCATGTTATTAAGCAAAAAATAACTTTGTGAATTTGCTCAACTGTAAATGGAGATCATATCTGATATTTTATTTCCTGTCCATAAGGCAGCAGTTGCGTAGCAAAAAAGGCAGCTCTCTCTCATGAACTGAGCTAAACTGCAGCAAGATTCTGAACTGGCCCTGCGTTTCCACAGGCAAGATCTGCGTCTGCGTTTTGGCTCCCCCTAGCGGGCCCCACGGGCTGTGCGTGACCCCACCCCACTGTGCTCCCGCCTGGAGGCAGAAAGGGCCCCGCAGAAGGCTTGCCCTTTTTACATAAACCAGCCAGCGAAGGTCCCTGCAAATTGGTCCCGGGCGGTTTGTTTCCCGCTGCAGGCTGAGACCTGCTAGCCCAGAAGCTGGCGTGCACACTGGATCGTGTAAAGAGCACAGACAGCAGCGTTTTAGCCCTTGGGAGCTGCTGTGTGTCCCACAGAACCTCACAGACAGCCGTCACCCCTGGAAGACAGGGCCCTGCAGGTATAAGCCCCAGTGCTGCTGCCCTTGGGAGCTCTCCGACCTGGAGACTTCCCGTGTGTTGCTGGGCAACTTCCCACACACAGAACCCTCCCCAAGACTGCCTTCCCCCTCTCCCCATGACATAGACCTCGGAGTGTCTCAAAGTGTGAGGGACATAGGCACATGTGAACCTGTCACCATGGTGTCCACATGCAGCTGTGGGGGTCGGGCGGGCAGCTAGGGGTCTGGGTTGGTGTAGCCAGGGAAGCTCCTAGGGTGACCCCACACTGAACGCTGTCTTCTGAGACTCAGGATTTACACATGGTGGGTGGAGGGGCGGGGCTACAGGGAGGCGGTGAGGTGAGGCGTGTGGCCCACGTGCCATCGGGCTCCCAGGGGCACTGTGCCTGGTCGGACACAGAGCAGGTTCCCGGCACTGTCTTCATAGGAACACCTGGAGAAGTTTCTGAAAATCGGGGTGCTCAGCCCCACCGCTGGGAAAGGAGACAGCAAACCTGGGGAGGAACTAGGGAGGGCCCGGCTGAGAACCCGCAGACCAGGGTGCCAGAGCAGGCAGAGGGTGGGGAGGGGCGGGGCGGGTGGGGCAGGAGGCCTACCTACATCTTCCTTTCAGGTGAGCAGTGAGAAATGGTTAATACAGGCGAGCTGAGCCACTGCAGGGACAGAGGACTGCTAAGGAAGCGTTGTTTACTGAGATGGGACTATCAGCTGATGTCCTGTATTTTTACTTGTAAGTCGTCAGCCCCAAGTAGGGGCGGCAGGGAAGGTCACGGGGAACCGCTGAAGGAGTTTAAGCAAGAGGCTGTGTGTGTGCACATGTGTGTGTATGTGTGTGTGCATGTGGTGCGTGTGACATGACTAGGTTTGCATGTGGCAGATCAGCAGGAGGGTGGGACGCAGGGAGCCCCATTCCTAACTCAGCCCCAAGCCCAGAGAACATGTTCTGCACAGCTGGCTGATGGGAGATACTCCAGGAGATGGGAAGATCGAGGTAACAGGACAAGGGGCAGCTGCACGGCCACAGTGAGATTCTGCCTGAATCAGGTGGGAGAGAAGGGGTGTGGCTCAGGCTGGGAGGCTCCCTGGAAGAGGCAGCATCCTGGAGTGATTGGTCATCTTGTTGAAACTGTCTAGCCGACTGGACCAGGTTCAGCCCTGCCCCACGCAGGAGAGATGGGCCTCGGGAGTCATGACCGTGACATTTGGCCGGCAGAGGATGAAACGTCTGCTAACCCTGCCCTCAGAGTCCAGGCTGGGCACGTACCATTCCTACCCACAGAGTGGTCACTGCTGCCAGGAGGGCTGTGCAGCGCCCAGCCGTGGCCTGCTCCGCCTTGGAGAGGCCCGGGAACGTGTCTCTTTGGCTGCTTCCTGGAAAACGGTGGGAGGCGTCTGCAAAGGTGCCCGATGGAGGAGCCACGGTAAGGAGCGAAATCCCACGCAGGTGGGCGTGGGCGGCCAGCACCAGGACCCCCGCCAGCTGCAGGGGAAAACCCGCCACATTGACCTTCTGAGCATGAGGTCATGGGAGCCCCAGAATGTGGCGGGAGCTTCTAAATGCTTTAAAATAAGGAAAAGCCTGGAGGAGCCGTTTTTGGATTGTTGATCACATCATCTGGTATAAGACCTTGGCCCCTCCCCGGGCCTCCTGCGCCAGCTCCGCCCCACTTGTCCCAGGCGCTCAGCCCAGGCACCCTTCTCCCCTGGTCCTCCTCCCACCAGCGCCCCTCCTCCTTGCCATCTGCACCCTGAGCTGCTGGAGGCCATGCCTGCTGCCAGGGGCACCTGTGTCACTGTTTCTGCTCCTGGTGCCCCTCGAGGGCTCAGTAAAACAAGCCACGTAGGAAAGGACGGGGAAGGGCAGTCTCGTGCTGAGTGTAGCTCAGTGACGTCCAGTGTCTGTGGTAACAGGCCAGGAACTTGGCCCGGACACACGCTGCTCCCTCATCCACCCACACAGGCACGAAGCGAGGGAGGTAAGAAGGCCACGCACCGCTCCTGCACCGAGCGAGCACCCAGGAGGTGGCTCTGACCACACACATCATAACAATAACACTCCAGGGAGAGTCGTAGCAGAGCGTGTAAATGCCCTAACGCTATCCTGAGAGGAGAATTCTCACCCCTGGTGCGAGGACGCCCGCGAGGGAGCGGCGTGTGGCGAAGATGCAGGACGCCACTGCGCTGTGAGAGCCGAGCAGACGGAGGCATTTCAGGGTCAGGAGGAACGACAGGGTTCCCTGGAGCCACCTCGCCCTCTGCGGCAGAGAACACAGCAGCCAGTGTCACCCTGCTACAGGGCGCACAGCGTTATCACCCCTGCGGGCCGGGCACAAGGGAGGCGTGCCCTGGGGTGAGGAGCACCCCAGCCACGATGTGAGAGGGTGTGCGTGTCAGGCTGCAGAGGGAAGGCACGAGGGAGGAGCACCTAGAGTTAGAGCTTTTCGGACGGGCCAGCTCCAAGTCTGATCTTGTGGCTCCATAGCGGTCAGGCCCGCTCAGGCCCGGCGCTGCGAGTCGCAGCCTCAGGACCGAGTGGGGAAGGCCACCTCCACGCGGCACGTGGAGAACTCAGTGCCCGCCCCCCCTCCCCCCCACCCCTGTGTGGGAATGAGCGCCTGATCGACAACATTCCTCACGCATGTTTGTAACATTTAATCTTCATAAAACTAGAGCACCCCGATTTCTACCGACGGAGCCTGGGCTCCGGGAGAGGAGATGACAGAACAAGAGCCGCCTGGCTGAGCAACAGCAGGCCCAGGCCCTCCTGTGTGGCCCCAACGCCCGTCCTACCTGATTCCATGACGCCATGGGACTGAGGTCCACAAAGCCCCGCAGGAGTCCCATGTGCAACTGCTCGGTCACCTCCCCGGCCAGAGAGAGCAGGTGGCCGGAGGCTGCGTACCAGGCCAGGCCGGCCCCGGCGAGGGGCAGCTGCGGGGCAGAGAGAGACCGTCAGACGGGCTGCGGCCTGGGGTGCAGGGGATGACACCGCCTCGGTGCCTTCAGGCTTACACCATGGGGACGGCCCTGCGCTGGCTGAGCGGGTGCGCAGGCAGGGCTCGGCATAGCTATGTCCGCTGCGAGTTTGTGAGGGACACAGGGCCTACCTCCAGCCAGGCCCCGGGTTTTTGCCAGTAGCCACGGACGCCCTCCTCGGCCAGGCGGAAGAGCTGGAGACACAGGTGGGTCAGGGTGAGCGCCAGGAAGGCCAGCTGGAGGAGCGCGAGATAAGAGATGACAAAAGTCCCGTGAATTGTGTGGGAAGCTTGAAACCCCTGCCTACCCTCAGGAGTGGGCTCGATCCCAGCATGTTCTTGGCCGTGTGGAGCTCTGAGACACACGTGGTCTTCGCAGGCCCCCGGGCATTTGCACCTCTCCACCCACCAGCCTCAGAGACCCGCCCGCGGGCAACAGAGATGCACGTGAGCTCGAGACGGGTGGCCTCATGGAAGCCCTGCCCTGTGAGAACTGCCCAGCGCCCAGGGCATCTCCTGCCCACCCCCAATCCTTCCTCATGATGCTCAAGAGAAAGAGTGCTCATGAATTTGGAAAACATATGGAACGTATTAACAGTTTCCTTGGCCACGTCAAACCTTTGAAAGATCCTGCACATAAGAAATTTCTTAAAGTTCTGTCTATGATGATCTCACCTTGATGATTTCCCATCTACCATGACTTCACTCGCCCCCTCACCCCTTCACCCCCTTACCCCCTCACCCCCTCACCCCCTCACCCTCTTACCCTCTCACCCCCTCACCCCCTTACCCTCTCACCCCCTCACCCCCTCACCCCCTCACCCCCTCACCCCCTCACCCTCTCACCCCCTCACTAAAAACGCCTCTTTGGTTCCCCTCCCTCCCTTTGGGGACAAGGGAGCGTGCTGCCCCCACAGATCAGTGCGGGGCCCCAGGACAAGAATGAGAACAGTAGCAGCCACGTCACAGAAGCTGGAACGTGTGTGGACAGCATTTGGTAGCCCACTCATCTTTGGTTCTCACAGGGTGAGGGACGTCAGTGTCTGAGTGGAAGCCTGTGTGAGGCACAGGCCATGGCAGCCTGAGTGAGCCCTGGACAGGGCCTGGGCTTCAGTCCTAAGCCCCCCACATGGCATCTGTACCCCGAGAGCTCTGCACTTGCACCAGCCACGCAGACTGGCTGGTTCCCCTGGGGGTCTTCCTGTCCTGTGCCCACACCAGTGGGCACGGCAGGGGTCTGTGGAGGGCACGGGGGGCACTGTGCTCCACGGGGGGCCGAGAGGCCAGTGAGCTCACCTGGGGAAGCAGCAGGTGGTACCTGGGGGCTGAGTCACTGTGGAAGACGGTGACCGACTCCACGAGGGGGGAAAGGGTGAGGCCCCCGGCCGGGAGCAGCGCAGCACGCAGGGACACGCTGGAGAAGAGGCGGGTAGGAGGGTTGTAGAGGACGAAGTGCACGGACACGGCCTTGGTGCGGTGGTCCACCCAGCGGCGAGCCCTGAGGCCAGTCAGCACTGCGCGGGCTGCGGGCCTGCAAAGCGTGCAAGTCAGAGGGGGGAAGCCGTGCAGGGAGGCTTCCAGCCCAGGTCCTGCCGACCCCTGCTATGGCCCTGCCGACCCCTGCTGTGGCCCTGCATTCACAAGACTGTACGGGTGGCCATCTGTGTCCTCTGGCTCCTCGCTGCCCACTGCCCCTCTCTCCTTGCCTGGGTGGGACCGCAGGCTGAGGAGGCCTGGAGAAGGGCAGCCTTTGCTGTCCCAGGGGCCCACTTGGGAGAGATTGCCATCTCTCGCCCAGGCCGTGGAGCGATGGACAGGCAAGTGTGGACGACTTGGACCCCCAATCACACTGACCTTGTCCTGCCCAGGCTGAGCTCACAGTGCTCCCTGCAGGCTGTGGGGTCACTTGGGGCCACTCTTTGGGTCTCTGCGTTGGTGACAGAGGGGGTTTCAGAGCCTCCAACTTTGGGGTGACACGTAGGTAGAGAGTCTTCCGGGAGCATGGAGAGTGGCCTGGGAAGCTGCAGAGCCAACCAGAACCAGAGCAGGAGTCAGAGGTGCTGCCGAGTCTGCCCTCACCCTGGGGTGTCTGGCCAGGCCGTGCGGGCACATGCTGACCTCAAACATGGCCCGAGCCCCTCGGTCCCCCGCGTGGCCGCCGGCTCCCGCCTGAGCCCAGGACCCGGAAAGGCTGCACCTTGGGTGACCCCATTCTGAGCTGGGACGTCAGTGAGTTTCCATCACCAGCGATGCAGGGGCGTGCCGTCCTCATCCCCCTCCCGTCAGGACAAGGTCTGTGACATTCCAGTTTGAGATGGAAGCGCCTGGATTTGCAGGACCAGGAGGGAGGCCACTCGGGGAGGAGTTGGGCCAGAGGAGAGGGAGGTGAAGGCGGTCGCCCCGCCCCCCAGCCCAGTGCCCACGATTCATCACAGCCAGAGATGGCGCCAAGGGCCTGGGTTTCCTGCCCATGGGTTGCTCAGACTTTTCACATTCCATGTGTTTTTAGAAGTAAAAAGAAAGAGCATCTGACCTCGTCGCTTCTTACCTCACATGAAGGGCCAGGAGAAAGTCTTATTTGCTTAAGGACTGCCGGGCCTATGAGGTAGCATGTTCCTCCGAGAGCTCCAGGCTGTGGAAAGGAGGACATGGCCGCACTGAGAGCCTGCACACCCTCACCCAGCACAGCCACACTGTGAGCCTGCACACCCTCACCCAGCACAGCCACACTGTGAGCCTGCACACCCTCACCCAGCACAGCCACACTATGAGCCTGGTACCCTCACCCAGCACAGCTACACTGTGAGCCTGCACACCCTCACCCAGCACAGCCACACTGTGAGCCTGGTACCCTCACCCAGCACAGCCACACTGTGAGCCTGCACACCCTCACCCAGCACAGCCACACTGTGAGCCTGGTACCCTCACCCAGCACAGCCGCACTGTGAGCCTGGTACCCTCACCCAGCACAGCCGCACTGTGAGCCTGGTACCCTCACCCAGCACAGCCGCACTGTGAGCCTGCACACCCTCACCCAGCACAGCCACACTGTGAGCCTGTACACCCTCACCCAGCACAGCCACACTGTGAGCGTGCACACCCTCACCCAGCACAGCCACACTGTGAGCCTGGTACCCTCACCCAGCACAGCCACACTGTGAGCCTGGTACCCTCACCCAGCACAGCCGCACTGTGAGCCTGGCACCCTCACCCAGCACAGCCACACTGTGAGCCTGCACACCCTCACCCAGCACAGCCACACTGTGAGCGTGCACACCCTCACCCAGCACAGCCGCACTGTGAGCCTGTACACCCTCACCCAGCACAGCTACACTGTGAGCCTGGTACCCTCACCCAGCACAGCCGCACTGTGAGCCTGCACACCCTCACCCAGCACAGCCACACTGTGAGCCTGGCACCCTCACCCAACAGCATCATTCTGGACCTCCGCGTTGTTGCCACGACCCCACCCACTGCGGTGGTGGAGCAGAGGGAAGCCCACCTGAGCGCCGGGCACGCCGACCGGGTACACGCCATCCAGCAGTGTGGTCAGGCTCCAGTCCCACCAGGCATCCACGCTGCTTAGGCTGCCGGAGGAGCTCCTGGCACCTCTTAACGCAAGAGCAGAAACAAAAAGTCACTTCTGTAACAAGATGGCAGGCAGTCTGGTCTGCGGGAACTAGCGGAAGCCATCTGCACCGTGAGGCACAGGGCCCTGGAGCGCCTGGCCCCTGAGCGGCAGCGAGAGGAGAGGACAGGACAGTGGACTCGTTCCTGGTGGCTCACCCGCTCCGTCACCCTCTGAATCTGCGCCACTGGGGAGGACCACTGCCTGCCCGGCCCTCTTCTGGGCGCTGGGGACACGGACAATCAGATCCCTGTCCTGTCAAATCCCACGTCACAAACACATAAGCCAAGCACATCAGTGACGAACATCAGGGAGAGAAAACAGCGGGAGACACCGGCGTGGGCCATGGGCCGTGGGCCGTGGGCAGGGGAACCTTAGTTTGAGCAGCCGGGAACTTCAGCACGCGGGGACGTTTCAGCAGAGGTAAAGGCGATGGAGGTGCCCACAGGGACATCTGAGGGGACACAGGCACAGGCCAGGATGGGCATGTGGCAGGGGTGACGGGAGGGCAAGGAGGCCGCTGAACGGGGGCCAAGCCAGCGCGGGACCCGCAGACAGAGACAGGGCGCTCTCTACACCACCACCCGCTGGCCACGGCTTCTCCTCCCTCCCCGCCTGCAGACCAGAGCAGCAGGCCCAGCTCTGACGGCTGAGGTCAGACGAGGCACACAAGCCAGGCGCACACAGCACACAGTGAGGGTCAACAAGCCTAGCGTGCTGCCTCCCAGTGAACTGCTGACCGTGAGGTAGCCGTCTGCCGCCCCTCCCCCAGGGAGCTGACTCCAGGACACTGAGCACTTCAGACAACGAAACCCGTCAGCTCAGCCGAGACACCTGCCGAGCAGAGCCTGGCCATCGTGACAAACCCGGGCCACACGCGAGGAAAGGAGACAGAGCAACATGGATCTTGTGGCAGGTCAGTGACATGTCACCAATGTGTGGACTCAGAGGAGGGCAGGGCGGGCCACCTCCCTCCCCATCATGGCCTTCACCGCTCAGAGCTTCCTGCGTTTCCAGAGCCCAGGCTCCCACTGACCCCCTTGCCCCTGCACAGGCTCCTGGGCCAGCTGTGTGCCACCCTGAGCCGCTGGAGGCCCCAGGGTGAGCTTCCCAGGTGCAGGAGGCCACCCAAATGATCACTTTGTTGAGCATGTGGTGCCACCTGCTGGCAGGAACTGTCTGTAACCAACCGTGAACACGGCTCCGGGCCTACCTGGCGAAGGTGTTCCGGATGGCGTGGTTGAGAGAGTGCTCATCCCGGGTGGAAGGCGCGTGGGTTATAAGCAGGTGTAGGAGCAGCATGAGGACGGACATGCAGGTGTCCCTGTAAGGAAGACATTGGGATGGCGTTTTCACAGGCCGCTGTGCAGACCCAGCCGACCGTTTCCAGTGGACACTTGTGTAAGGGTGAGGTCTGTGAGGAGGCTCATGTTTTGCATATTGGCCTCCAAGTTCCCCAGCGCCAGTCTCAGAATGAACTGCCTTTGTGCTTTTGTCAAAGACCCGCTGGGCATCCGTGTGGGTCTATGTCCGGGCTCTGTCCTGCTGGTCTGCGTGTGCACCACGCGGTGTCTCGGGTCCAGGGCTTTAGGCCCAGCCCTGAGGTTGGGGACTGGCCACCTCTGACTGATCTTTTCCAGGATGGCTCTGGCCAGGCCAGCCCCTTGCTTCCCGCACACGTTTGGAATCAGTTTGTCGGCATCTACAAGCTCAGCTTGCGGGTTTGGGTTGAGACCGCCCTGACTCTACACTGGAAGGATCTGACCTGGGGCCATGCTGCGCGTCCGGCCGTGAACGCAGCGTCTCTCCCTTGCTCCGGCGCTGAGCTCTTCTCTCTCTCGGGTCTTGTGGTTTTCAGATCCAAACTCCGAGCTTCCTTCCACCCGGGGCCGAGCGCTTCGCTTCCGAGTGCCGTGTGAGTGGCTTCGCTGTTTCAACCTCGGTTCCCACTGCCCGTGGCTGAGGGGGGCACCTGCCTGGGCTCCCGCCGACTCGATCCTGTGGCCCTCGGGTCCCCGTGCTAGTGCGTCCCAGGAGCCTTTCTCAGGATCGTTTGGGTTTTCTGTGTAGACTATGCACGCCACCTGCCCACAGGCTGTTTTATTTCTTCCTTTCAAATCTATAAGCTTCCCGCTCTTTTCCTTGCCCACGGCCCGGCTGGGACTTCCTGGGAGGGGCAGCAGGAGCCGGGCTTCTACCTGAACAAGCACTCACTGTCCCAGCAGGTGTGAGGTAGGTGGGGTCACAGAGGCCTCTATGAGTGTGGGGACATTCCCTTCTAGTCCCACTTTGCGGAGAGGTTTTCTCGTTCTGTTTTCATGAAGGAGCATCAATTGTGTCAAATGCTTTCTGTATGTCTCCCGAGATGCTCACGTGACTTGTCTTGTTGGATCCGTTCAGATGGTGAACCATGTCGACTCCTTCTTCTTGTGTCTCTCACCCCCAGGTAGCCCCGCGTCTGTCTCCATCGGTCTCTCTGTGCCAGTCTCTCCCGCCCACCCCGAGGCATGCTGGGTGTTGTCCCTGGGAACGCGAGCGGGCACAGAGCTCGAGCACATTAGGACCCAGCTGAGTGGGGGAGGTCACCCTGCAGGGGACGTGTTTGCTGTCAGGAGACACTTGACGTCTGGTCCTTCTTTTTCCTCCTTTATGTTGGTTGCTGTGACGATTGGTGTTTAGGCCCATGAATTCATCAAAGGCTGCCCACGGTGGGGGGGGCTCTGTCGCTTCCTGTAGGGCTGTGGCAGGTCCATAGGGAAAAAGGGCCGGTCAGTCTGCCACCACTTCCCAGGCCTGGAGTCCATGGAAAGACGGCCGGGCCTCCATTGTGTTGGCTAACACTGGTCCCAGGGGTGGCATCTGGTGCCCTCCTGGCTGCCCCCTCCAGCGTGTGGGTGTCAGGGATTCCCACGTGCTTCACGAACGGCACCAGCCAGATGAGAGGGAGAGCAGGCGACGCCTAGAAGTCAGAGAAAGATCCGCTGCCAAGTGCACGAGGCTCCCCACAGCCGTCCAGCCCCACCCACGACCAGGTGGGGGTGTCATCCAGAGAAAGGTGTCAGAGGCCACGCTGGCAAGGCTTACCAGGCACATGCACTTCCTAACTTTTGGGTTTTATCTAAAAAGCATCATGTCGATGTTGCGCTGAGCTCCACAACGTATTTAACAGGCAGAGGTTTGAGAACATTGCCTTGGCTCCATCCGCGTCCCAGGTAGAGGTGTTTGTCTTACGGCTCCAGCACCGTGTGTCCCGCCTGCTCACCACCAGCTCCTGCAGAGCCCGGTTACTCCAGCTTCTTGGCATCCCGTGGACTGGGGCGCATGGCGGTGGCTCTGGGCCAGCGAGGTCCCCCTTCGCTCCCCCTCCCAGATGCTGGCAGGCTGCTCTGGACAAGAGCGCGGGACCTCCACCCACCTCAGCACTGCCCGGGTGCGCGTCTGTCTCCGCATCTTCTCCCGCGTGGCCCTGAGCCACGCTGTGGACGGTGGATGCGCCCTGCGCAGGCGACGAGCTCGCTGTCGCTCAGCCAAGACCTGTGGGGAGGAGAGGGCCGTGGGCCTGGGGCTGCAGAGCAAGGGGGTGAGGCCTAGGTGCCCGCCAAGCCCGGGAGGATAGGGTCACCGCCTTTGCATTGGCCTGGGGTTTGTTGGGCAGCTGTCCGGGGAGACAGGAGACTGTTCTCACTCTGTCCCGTCACCATGGCCACGCTGGCAGGGCCCCGACACAGTCTCGGTCACATCCAGCTACAGGGCAGTTCGCTTCGAGAGCTCAAAGTGGGGAAAGCCATTTTAAAGTGCGCTCATGCCCGGCCGGCGTGGCTCAGTGGTTGGACATCGACCTGTGAACCAGGAGTCACGGTTCGATTCCCAGTCAGGGCACAGGCCCGGGTTGTGGGCTCCATCCCCAGTGGGGAGCGTGCAGGAGGCAGCCCATCAATGATTCTCTCTCATCATTGATATTTCTATCTCTCTCTCCCTCTTGCTTCCTCTCTCTGAAATCAATAAAAATATATTTAAAATAAATAAAGTGCGCTCTTAGCAAGAAATGACCTTTGCTTTCCATGGTCACAGCTCTCGGCTAGTCATTCCACATGAGCACACAAGGCCCACGCAGGCCACAGGCACTCCCCGTGGGGCTGGCACACCTCTCTCTCCTCTGTCATCCATGCGGCCAGGACAATGCTGTGCACCCGGGAGCAGCTGATCTGGAAGGAAGCAGGAGGGAGGGAGGAGGTTTCTGTGAGCCCATTGACGTGCAAAAGGCCTCAACTTCTCCAAAGTCATAGCCAAGAATCAGTCCTCCTCTGCTTCAGTGTAAAATAAGCTGGTTTTCTCGTGGTCTGGTTCCTTCGGGATCGGGGCGAAGGTAAGGGAGCTTAAGAACTAGAACGCCCCAGAGGTCTCTAAAGGTGCAGCCAAATTTGGATTCAGAATGTGATTCAGACACGCACGCCGAGGCCACGGCAAGCTCTCTAAGCTCAGTGACCCTGCAGGCCCCAGACCCGTCCTCACCCTCTCAACCACGCCTGGGCCGCGGGGACGGCTGCAGCAGGGCGAGTGGGGCGTGCGGGTGCAGGAGAGCCCCGCCAGGCCCGTGCCCAGGCCCTCGGTGGCCTCCCGTAAAGACTCAGTGAAGAAGCTCTCGTCGTCTCTCCTTTTCCAAGCGAAGCCCAGAGCCACCAGGCCCACCTGCAGGGACAGGGACAGCGCAGTCACCACCCCTGTCTGTGCCCCACGGACCCGGCCTGCTCCCCGGTCAGGACCCCAGGGCTCGGTTCCCCTGCCTTCACTCCCGCCCGCCTGCTCCCAGCACGGCCTCCCTAAGGCTGATGTCCTCCGGAGCACTGGGCGCCGAGGGCCGTGTGAGACCGACAGCCACCACCGTCAGCCCTGCCTCCCGCCTCTCATCAGGCTGTGACACGGCAGGGACACGTCCCCACACGCAGGCACCATCCCCTCCCGGCCCGATGGTGGACGCGACTCCCACGCGGAGGGCTGCTCACCATGAAGGGCTGGGTGACGAAGACACAGCAGGTCACAGAGATGGTCAGCAGGCACAGCCACTGCCCGCACTGTGTGGGGCCGAACCTGCCCGGAGACACGCCGTCACCTCCTGTCTGTGCTCAGGGCCCGGCAGACCGTCCCCCCATGACAGGTGACTGATGGAGGTGGGGCGCTGGGCAAGGGGCAATGGGTGGCCTGTTTTTCTGCCCAACAAAGGGGTGAGTCTCCTCCTGCTCAGAGGGGTCGCCAGCCACCCTGAAGCTGCTCAGTGGAGAGAAAGGAGATCCCACACAGGCGGAGATGGAGATGGAGACAGAGACGGAGACGGAGATGGAGATGGATGCGGGGTGGAGGGGGGCAATAACAGTAATAACAGCCTCACATCTGCTGAGCGGAGCAGGCCCATCCCTGAGCTAACAGGGTCGCTGAGGATCGCCTCTGCTCCCCTAACCCCGAGAGGCACCATCCGCTGGGACTCTCATGGTTTAGGACGTGGCCCTTACAGCCATGACGAATGACCCTGGAGTTGCTGGCGATGGGCCAAGCTGCCAGGGACCAGCCGAGCAGGTGTGGGGAGCACAGCATCACCCCTACGACATGCTCTGCTTCCTCACCAGGTGTGTGCTTCCTCCATCGTCAGCTGACTGCTAAGGGCATGCTCTTCGCCTGTCAGAGCTCAGCAGCCGGTTCCCTCCCACCTTGGGGGGGTCCTGCGACCTCTCCTATCGTGGGAGCAGCGAGCTCCCATGGGTTTGCACAGGACGCTCTTCGCCCCGGGCGGTGGGGGAGCCGCGAGGACTGAGACAGCCAGAGCCACTTCTGGCCCCACCTTACAAGCTCCCCAAACCCAGGAGTTTCCTTATGGACAGTGGACTTGCCGTCCAAAGACCTGAGAATGTTTCACAGCTCACCTGTACCCTAGAAACACCGTCCCCACACCACAGGCCACAGAGACCATCCCACAAATGGCCCACGCTGCAGAGCGCAACCACGGCCGCGGCGCCCTTGGCCACGGGGTTGTGACGTGTCCTTCGAATGCACGGCTGGGGGCTAAGGAAGAGAAGACAGAGGCCAGCGTGAGAACAGCCCTCGTCGTGTCCAACCACACCCAGTGTGCTCACTGATTTTGTGTCTCCTGACTGGCTCACAGGGTGCCCAGCTCCGGCGCCACACCCCAACTCTTCTAACGGCCAATGCAGGATGGGCAGGAAGGGGCCAGGCGTGGCACACCCACCACCCACGTCACCTTGTAAACCGAGAATGCAGTCTCTCTTCTCCCTCAGAGCCCACTGGCCAAGCTCAGCCCCGCAGGCCTCCAGCTCAGGGGGCGGCTGGGTGGCCCCATCGCCGCTGGCTGCACTCTGGGCCTGGGCTCCCCCACAGAGAACGGCCGGTGCGCTTCGCTAGAAAAGACCAGGTGAGGGTGAGGTTGTGCCCCGGGAACGTGGTGCCCTCCACAGCAACTCCCTTGTGAGCCTCTTGGGAGGGCATGGCCTGGCCGACCTCGTCATGCCTCAGGCTGGGATGGATTCTGGGGGAGGCGCAGGGCAGCCCCAGGCCATGACAGGACACTAACTACTAACAGGCTCCTTGAAGCCGAGAGCGAGTGTGCACCTGCCCCTGGGTGGCCGCGTGACCTGGGGCAGGGGGTGAGGTTCAGGCAGAAGGATAGGGAGCCAGCCTGGTGTGGGGACAGGACAGTGGAGGCAAGAACAGCCAGAACACAGGCCTGGGGATGAGTGCCGTGCTCAGGGGCGGGCTCTGAGCAAGGACTTGAGTCCAGAGAGCACGGGAGCCACACCCGACACGCTGCCATGGACGAGAGTCCACTGAAGCTACAGTGGCTGAGGCCTGGATGGCGGCACCCAGCACAGGCAGCGCCTCATGTCCCCTCACTCCCTCCGCTGCCCAGCATCTCTTCCACGGACCTGCCCACCCCGCCCCAGCCCTCGCCCTGCACTGGGCCTGGGGCCTCTGTCCCCCACAGGACCCATATGTACTCATGGCTCCTCACGCCCTTCCCACCCTGAGCCTGGCCGTCTGTGGCTCCCAGGGCAGGCGGGGCTGCGCTCAGTGGGGCCACAGGCCTCCTGCAGGGTGAGGACACATTCAGGACGGCGCCCCAGGGCCTGCCCAGGACAGGGCCGTGCAGATGGGACCGGGCACCTGGCTGAGCCTGAAGAGCAGCGACAAGAGCTGTGCCCCCGGAGAAGCCAGGAGGGTGCACAGGAAGCCCGTCCAGAAGGACCCGAGGGGGACGCCGGCCGGGCCAACACTTGGCGGGAGCTGCAGGGACAACAGAAAAACGTTGCCCCAAGTCAGTGCGGCCCAGAGTGTGGTCATTTGTCATCATGATGCAGTTCATGTGAGCAGGTGCATCGTGGGTAATCACATGGTCAGTCCATGTGAGTGCGTGTGTCGTACTTCACGAAGTTCTCTCTCCCTGAACCTCGGACTCCCACGCGGGAGTGAAAAAAGAAATCACTGGAAACGCTGCTTTTCTCCTGCACAGCCCTCTGGACGGAACAAACGTTTGCTGAGCGCTCGCTTGGCGCCAGGCCCCACAAGCGAAGCTGGCTGAATCCTCGCTGGAATCTGACAAGAAGCCGTCAATCCCCAACGCATCCCCAACATAAAAGCAGAGGGAAGATCAGACAACTGTCCACCTTGGAGGGGAGCCAACCTTAGGTTCCGGGCCATGGCCAGTGTCACCGGTGGGTGGACACAGCTGTCCCTCATGCTGCTCAGTGAGACCCCTACCACCTGCTCACACATCCCACACTCGCTCTTTTCAAAGAAGAACCCGCTGACTCGCAGCTGTGACAGTGACCCCTGAGCCCTGGTGCCCTCTGTGGACGCCCCCCGCCCCCCGACGGCCCTGTGAGAGCCCTCACCACCTTCCCAGCCACGGGGGCTGGGAATGGCCGTGAGGTTGTCACAGAAGCAGATGTGACCGCTGTCCCTGCACAGCGGCTGTGACGGCCTCGGGAGCAGCGGGGTCACTGCTCTAACCGCCTGCCCCGACGTAGAGTTCGCCTCTGTCTCCTGGGGACGCGGACCAGAGCTGCCACTGCGAACCGGCACTGCGCAGCCGGGTGTGGCCGTCGGAATGCCTGCTTTTCCGTCAGAGGGAACTTGAACTACTTGCCAACCTACCACAAGTCAGGGGTTCTCACAGGACCCTCCAGGCTGCTGCCCCCTGAGCACCAGGCTGAGGGTGGCACGGGGCTCCCTCACGGCCAGTCAGCGGAGACACAGCGGCCGCCCGCAGACACCCCTGGGTCCCGCCAGGCCCACGTCACCCCTGGCCTTGAGCACCGGGCCCCCTCCCTGTTGTGAACCCCTCCGAGAACCGTGAACCTCGCTAACACGAGTCAGGGAGGTGTCACCCCGCAGGTCTGGGACTCAGGGCCGCTTAAGGAAAGTGTCCCACCTGCCCGTGTCCTGCAGTGGTGACCAGGGCCGCCAGGCAGGCGTAGGCGCACAGCAGGGCAAAGGCCACGCTGAGGCGCGGCGTGTGCAGGAGGCCCCGGCCCGCCGGCCGGCTGTGCACCGAGGCCCACACGTGGAGGTCCTCCAGCTGCTCCGTGAACCTGGAGAACAGGAGCTGAGACGAAACACAAGACCTCGCTGCACCAGGCGCTGCACCAACAGCACAGACGCAGCGGCGATCTGACGGCAGCGGCTCAGCTTCTGTGGCCCCAGCCTATGCACAGCCCCTCAGCCCCCGGGACCTGCTCTATGCTCTCGGCACACTGGGCGTGCTGGCCCCTCCACTGGGCCTGAGCTCTGGGACCCTGTCCCCCGCCTCGCCTGTGTCTCCCTCAAGTGTCTTCACGCCCGTCTCTAGAGCCTCCATTTACAGACCTCACCGTGCACTCCGGTCGCGTCTCACCTTGCTGGTCCCCGTAGACTCTGAACCCCTCACACTCGGCCCCTCCCAGCGCAGCTAAACGCACAGGGAAAGGCCAGCTCTCCACACCTCCCGCACTGTGTCCGCCGTGGCCGGGGCCACCTGGGGACACGATGGCACCTACCTTCCGGAAGCCGAGGCCCCCGCGCAGACAGGCCAGCTCCCGCTCCACGCGGCCGTCCCACCTGCCCGCGGCCAGCCAGCACTCGGCGGGGAAGAACCAGCGCCCCCGTCCCTGGCGCAGCTCCTTCACCATCACGTGGCTGACATACCAGGCCGGGCAGGCCCCGCCGCTGTCGTGCCACAGGCGGACCTTCCGGAGCGGGCCCAGTGCAGCCGGAGTGCTGCGGGCACAGCATAGCGTCAGCCGGGGGTGCAGCCGCTTCTCACCCTCGGGCAGGAAGGACCCGTCTACAAGCAGGGACCCAGGAGGCCCCCCGGGAACAGGCTGCATGGGGCGGGGACCCCGCGGAGCTCCCCCAAATCCAGTCTCTCTAACCTCACGGGTCTGTCCACATGGAGCGCCACAGCTGACCTATGTCAGCGGGGACAGAGCCTGTGAACGTGAACGTCCAGGGAAGAGCAGCTCCCACCTCCTGCCCGCCCCGGCTGTCCTCCTGGTAAACCCTTTACCCACCCAGCTCTGCACGCCTCCTTGCCCTCGTCACCCTCATTTGGGGTGAAACTAACTCCTTCACGCGGGTTTAGTGACAGAAACGCATGGTTACGCAGGTACCAGCATGTAGGCCAATCAGCCTCCGTCCTTGCGTCCGTCCCTCACATGGGCCTGCTATCCGTCAACCTCAGATACACTGTGAACACACTGACCCTGTCCCCATGGAGCCACCGGTCCCGCTGGAGAGCCGGCCTGACGGCCACACCAGGTCTCACGCTGCTGCCCGGGCTCTGCGGGCGAGTCCCATACCTGAGGACGAAGGTGTGTCTGGAGTTCCGTTCAAACAGCGGCTTCTCTGGGCAGCAGAGCTCTCTGGGCTCTGAGAGTCCATCTTCACCACATAAAACGATGTAGACCTCAAAACACAGACACGGGGTCAGAGTTCAATTACCGAACCCGTGACCCTAACCAGTGCTGGGCAGGGCCCCCCTGCACCCTCCTCCCACCCCCATCCAGGAAGCCAGCGCCCCATGTAGACCCCGCGACCTGTCCCAGGACAGTCCCTGCCAGGGGGGAGGGGGGAGGAAAGGCCAGATGCCCCTTCGGGTCACTGGGCACATGGCTAGCTCACGTGTGGCCGCGTGGCTGTCTCACGCGTGGGCCCGCCCTCCTCCCTGCACTTAGGGGACCGGGTGGGTGAGGGGCCCCATAGACACAGCGTGCGTGTCCTCAGCAGCTGGGCTCGCTGCTCCTTGCTGGGCGGCTTTTGTGGTAAGAAACGTACAATTCTGTGCAGTGCCATCTACCCACCTTCACTGAGGAAAACCCCTCACTTATTTCTGCTCTTTTACATCCTTTCCTGTAGCCAGGGGCGTACGGCCTTGGAGTGACTTCTAAGTGTTTTCCCCTTTAAGTCTCTAGCCTTTAGGAGCGCGTTTCTGGGCATCGCGTGACATGAAGGCTTCACGTTGCTTTTCCACACGAAGCCACCGTCCCTGAGCACCTCACTGCGTGACCCCTGCTCTGCTCGGGGCTGCACGGCCCCGACATGCCTCGTCTGCAGTCTGTCCCATGCACCCGTCTGTCTGTCTCCTGACACGCGACACTCTCCTAGCCCGTCCCACCCCAGCTGCCTGGTGTCCCTCGGAGTCTGCCTGCTCCCCCTGCTGGTGACACCACCCTCCAAGTCTCTGATTTCTTGTGTTTTCTTCCAGGTAAATGTTAGAATCCGTTTTTCAAGCTCCACAAAACCCTTCCTGAAGTTTTGGTTGGACTTCATGGACTTTAACCTCTTTGTGCCTGGTTTTCACCTGTAAAATGGGTCTATTAATAGAACTCTTTCTAAAGTGTTTTGAGGTTTGGGAGTAAAAAAACCCCAACATAGTAAAGTCCTAATTCCTGTTAGCTGGTGTTATTACTATTAATGTTAAAGGTTAATGTGGGAGAAATGACAAGGAAAACTGGTTTTCCCGTCCATGATTGAATATTACTGTATATTTATACTAGAGGCCCAGTGCACAATATCCGTGCACTTGTGCGGGGAAATCCCCTCAGCCCGGCCTGCGCCCCCTCGCAGCCTGGGAGCCCTCACTCCTTACCGCCTGCCTGCTCACTGCTCCTTAGCGCTGCCACGGAGGCAAGAGAGGCTCCCACCACCACTGCTGCACTTGCCAGCTGTGAGCCTGGCTTCTGGCTGAGTGTCTGCCCCCTGGTGGTCAGTGTGCATCATAGTGACTGGTCATTCTGGTCATTCTGCCGTAACAGTCTCTTAGGCTCTTATTATATAGACTAGAAGCCTGGTGCACAAAATTCGTGCACTGGGGGGGGGGGGTCCCTCAGCCCGGCCTGCACCCTCTCACAGTCCGGGACCCCTCGCTCCTTACTGCCCAGCTCACTGCTCCTTAGAGCTGCCGTGGAGGCGGGAGAGGCTCCCACCACCACCACTGCACTCGCAGCCGTGAGCTGGCCTCTGGATGAGCGGCGCTCCCCCTGTGGGAGTGCACTGACCACCAGGGGGCAGCTCCTGCTTTGAGCGTCTGCCCCCTGGTGGTCAGTGCACATCATAGCGACCGGCCGTTCGCCATTTGGTCAATTTGCATATTAGCCTTTTATTATATAGGATATTTTATGCATATTGTGCCAGTTTTCTCATGATGGTCTTGTGGGTGCCCGGTGTGGTCATGATGGGGAACATGTGGTCTCAGTTATGTGTCCTATGTGGTCCTTGTTGTTGCATGAAGATGCCTTTGAGGGTTTTTACTGTGAGAATAAACAAGTCATCTTTTCTGTCAGAGAGCAGTTTAGGCAGCCGCCATGTTGGCTGCGTGACTTGGCAGTCACCATGTTGGCTGCAGGGCTTGCGGCTCCCTGGGGGCCGCCATCTTGAAATGGCAAAGGCCAACCCCTCCCTTTGAATCAGCCAATCGCGCAGACTGTGTGCCTGCGCTCCAGTCAGGAGTGAGGGCAGGCCAGGGGCGGCTCCGGACCAGGTGCCTCCTGCAGGAGGAGAGACGCGGCCTGCTGCCCGGCTCCGAGTGCGCTGCCTGTTCCCCCAGGACCCTGGAGGGGGGCTCGCCTTACTCTTACATGTACTGAACCATGGAATCCAGCGATTTTGTTAAACTTTCATATTGATTCTCATTATTTGACTGAAGACCCTCTTACATTTTCTATGCAGACATCAGATCGCCTGCCAGGAACTAATGTTCTCTCCTTCTAAACCTTAGATTCTTGTTTTGTTCTTGTCCTGTTGTCCTCCCTGGAGTTTCCAGGACAGGGCGGACAGACAGATGGCCACATCGCCAAGCCATGCACCCACACCTGCGCACACACCGTCCACACCCACACGTGTCTCCCGGATGCCCAGGCACCTTTGCGGTGAAGTGGGCCGGAGCCCGGAAGCCTGTGTCCACGACAACCGCGTACAGCTGGTGACTGGGCGGGGCACTGTCTTGCAGGAAAATGTAACCCATTTTCTTTTTCTCGCGACGATCCATACGTTTGCTTTTAGTGACCAAAAGGGCATAAAGAATTGTAATGGCCACAATAAAAATACTGGGGAGCAGGTTTTCCGGGCGTCTGTAAATAAAGGAGCAGAATAGACAGGGAAAATAAACATGTAATCAGAGACCAGCCGATGTTCCCCACACAGGGCTAACGCATGTGCATGTACACACAAGGCTCACACATGCACACTCATGCACTGGCTAACACACACGTGCACACTGGCCAACTCACACGCACATAGGGCCAACACATGCTCACACATGCATACTGGCTAATACACGTGCATGCACAGGGCTAACATGTGCACACACACACAGAAAGGGGTTCCCCATCCCAGTGGTGTCTGAAAGCACAGTGGTACCAGCTGTTCCCTGTGTCCTAGTCCCTGACTCCTGGTGACCTCACACCACCAGCATTGGCAGCATCAGTCATTGGCTTATTCCTGCACACCGGCTAGTTAACATGCACATGCACACATGGCACACATGTTCACACGTGTACACTGGCTAACACGTGTGCATGCACAGGGCTAACATGTGCACACACACACAGAAAGGGGTTCCCCATCCCAGTGGTGTCTGAAAGCACAGTGGTACCAGCTGTTCCCTGTGTCCTAGTCCCTGACTCCTGGTGACCTCACACCACCAGCATTGGCAGCATCAGTCATTGGCTTATTCCTAACTAGGGAGCCACTCACATTACCCAGGAACCCACTCTCGCCTATGAAATGACCAGGCGGCGTCCCTAAGGCATACACGTGAGGAGGAGAATGACACCCAGCACCAGGGAATGCAGACTCTGGCCCCATGAATGAGGCGCTGACCCCGCACGGCCTTGGCAGCCTGGTGCCCCATGTGGGGGATGGACAGACAGATGGACAAGGCAGCGAGCTCCTGCCGCCCCAGCTTGCGTTCTGCTGGCCCACATTTCAGCCTGAATATATGGAGCTATCTACGCAGTGCGACGGGCGGGGGCATTTCAGATTCGCCCCTGAAGCGGGCCCTGCTGAGGAACTAGGGGGCCGGGGCAAGAGAGCAGCAACCGCGGGTCCGGCTGTGTCGCCACTACGGACACTCACCCACTGGTCAGTCACAACTGCCCAGATTCACACTGACTTCCGTGTGTCCGTCCCTCTCCTGCCAGCAAATGTGAGCTGACAGACGAACATGGGCAACTAGGCAATAGTGAGTAACAATCACCTTTAACAGGCACGTTCTGAAGAGCAAAAGGATCCCAAGTAGCAGGGTCCACGCTCTGCTGACGGAACCCCGGGCAGCCAGTGGCCGGGCAGATAAAAGGGCTGGTCTAGAAGGCAGGACTCACCCCCGGAACTGGGCCACGTCCCTGGATTCAAAGCTGGCGTTCAGGCTTCTCCTTGCGATGGAGTAGGCGGCGAGGAGGTCGTAGCTGGGAGGGAGATACCGTTAGTGCGCGAGTGTTCACGGGCGCCCGCTGCGGGGGGGGGGGGGGGGGGCGGGTAGGGGGGGGAAGCGGGGGAAGCGGGGGAAGGTGCAAGCTCCAGTGGCTCCCGTTATGGGTTACGACTCAGACCCGGCGTGAAGGGTCAGCTAGTGAGTTAGACGTGGGGCTCGGCCTCTGTGTCTGTTTGCGGCTTCCAAGGCCGGGACACTGCTGTCCTCGGCGTGGACCTGGGGCGCATCGCAGACATCTTTGTGAGGCCAGGGGACCAGAGTGCTGACATCTCCATGACAACGCCCCCCCGCCCCCCCATCCCAGCCTCAGCCCAGGGACAGACTGTGCGCCGTGTCCGCGGTCCGGGCACAGCCGGTGCCCATCACGGGTCACCGTGAAGACGGACTCTCCCACAGCAAACCTGTCCCCCTCACTGCTCCGTGAGTAGGGCCCTTCGGCGCTGATTCTGTGCCCTGGCTCCTAGGTGCCAGCAAAGAACCATGTAGCAGAGAGCGGACAATTGCTTTAGTGCAGAAACGAACACATGACTATCCCAGGGAACACTGAGCCTGACCGCCAGCCTGAGCAAGCTCCCGGCACCAGCACTGCGCGCACCGGAGTGGACGTGAGAAGCCACGGATGGCGGCCGGGCACCGCACACGGTGGTCTGAACACACTGCCTCCTCCCAGGCAGCTAGGAGGTCGCTTTGTGATTCAACTTTCTTAAGATGACGATGATTTCTACACGTGCCTACGAGGTGTTTCTACTGTAACAAACACAGCCACGGCCACTGACAGAACAGCCGGCTCTGCATCTGGATAAAGAATTCCTGACCGAGGGCCACGCCCGATGCTCCCGGAAATTCCTGGGCGGCTGCAGTCGGTGTAGCGACGCATGTCCTGTGGTAAAGGTCACCCTCACGACTACGCAGAGGGGCAGGCGCGGGGTCCCAGCGGGGGCGGGGAGAGCAGAGGCCCCACCCGAGGGGGGTCATCAGCATGAGCAGGACACAGCGACCCACACGGGTCTCATCTACCCACTGACTCCTTCGTCCACCAGATGTTCGCTGAGCACCACCCACATCCCGGGGGAGGCACGTGAACTCCCCTGGGGCTGCTGCAGGCGGGCCAGACGCGGGAGGAAGCTGTCCCTGCAAACCCGACTCCCGCAGCATCGCCTCACCTGCAGTTCACCTTCCCTGGGGAAGCTGCCGGCTGCGGGGGGAGACTCTCAGGCTCCCGCCGCGGGTCCCAGAGCAGGCAGTGGACCCCCTGGAAACGCACCACGTAGCTCACGGTCTCGGCCAAGTACCTGTTGGGAGGTTCCCTGTCGTAGTCCGCATCCAACAGGGACAGGTACCCCTGGGTGTGGCCTGAAAGAGAAAATGTAAATTAAGAATCACAACCTGAGGTTTGGGAAAAGGCACTGCCTGTTCCTGCAGCAGACGAGCGGTGGACGGACAGCAGCACCGCGACACCCACGCCACAGCAGGGGCTTCATCACGGGACAGACAGAGGGCCACAGCGTCCCGTCCACCGACCTTCCAGCGCAGCCGCCGGTACGGAGACGTGCGCCGTGAGCCCCTCCCACAGGTGCAGCTGCCTCAGCAGGAAGTCGGCAGGAGTCGGCTTCTCGGAGAACCTGGGACAAGCAGAGCCGTGAGCACAGCCTGGTCTCGGTCTTTCCTCTCCGGGCTTTGCCACCTGCTTTTGTGCAGACACCCTTTCACCAGCGAGGCAGGCTGGGCCCCACGCACCACATCATCACGAGAACTGTGTGGCACTCACTCGTTGCTTCAGTAGAATAAACACCAGCCTGGCTGGTGTGGCTCAGTGGTTGAGCATTGACCTACGAACCGGGAGGTCACAGTTCGATTCCTGTCAGGGCACATGCCTGGGTTTCAGGCTCGATCCCAGTGCGGGGCGTGCGGGAGGCAGCCCATCCATGATGTTTCTATCTCTCTCTCCCACTTCCTTCCTCTCTGCAATCTATAAAAATATATTTTTTTAAATGAAAGATTGAGAGTCCTGCCCAGACGTGCACTGCGAGCCCTGGACGGACACCTGCGCTCTCTCCACGGTACAGTCTCTCCTGCAAACGGCAGGCTGGGTCCGTCTGAGGCAGCAACACCTCCTCCCTGAGCAGCCGTCACTCCATCTCTTCCACAACCCGCCGCACACCGCTGCAGAGTGCAACCTCACTCACAGGAGTTCTCACAGGCGCGTCTCCTGCCCTGACCCCATTACCCACAGCATCAGCCACGCACCTCACCAGCAACATGACGGGGAACGCCCTGGCGGCCGGCTGGGAGAACTCCACTCGGATCTGCAGGGCCTCCGGGCTGGCTGCAGACAGCCCAGTGAAGTGGTGGACGTTCACTCTATCCCGAAGCAGCACAAACGTCGTTTCATTTCTCCTGTCACCCTGTCAGCACGTGGACAACGAGCAGAATTGGCTTTTGGAAAAGTGAAGACATCACCTGTCACCAGGGCAGCCTAAACGCAGCTGAGGGGACCGGGCAGGGCTGTCCTCACCGGGCCATCTTCCTCCCCGAACTCCGCGGTCACGGGCGTCCTCAGCCGTGGCCTGTGCAGGGGCCTTCGGCTGGAGCAGCGGTGCAGGGACAGGGCCAGCAGAGCACCAACCTGGGGACACAGAGCACCTTGCAGTGGTGACGCCAGCCAGGGGGCGGCTACATCCTCAGGGAACACAGGGGTCACCGGCCAGAGGGGTCACGGCAGGACTGGGTGGGGGATAGCTTCATGTGCACTGCTCTTATTAAGTTAATCATTCTTAAAGTTTGTTGAAGTATTTTATTTTTTATTCTAAAAGCTCATATGAAAGCCACAGCTGCCGGGTGACAATGAGCAGAGGCGCAGACGGCCCCCAGCACTGCTGAGCCCTGCCGCGAGCCTTACCCGGGGACGCCTGCCTGGGGCGTCCGGGCGCTCCTGGGTGGGGACACACTGGGCGGGCAGCAAACGTTCTACTTTTGTTTTTGCGTGAAATCTCCCAAAGCCACTACAACTCCCTGGTTGACACAGCTTGATTAGCTACCTATGGATTCCCCTGAGTGATGCATTCACATAACCAGTGGGCGGCTGTCTGCGGAGCAGCCAGGTTATCAGAACTACGGTCGTTCTGAATAAACACATAAAGCTTGTTGCTTTGAGGAAATCTCTCCTGTTTCCTGGGAGGTGGGGGGAGGAAACACGGGTCTGGGTGTTTCTGGAGCTCTGGGCGCCTGGACGAAGTGCCTCCAGATGGGCAGACACCTGCTCGCTCCACCTCCACCTCCACCGGGTACGTCTCTACACAACTGCACTTTTTAGGTTGAAAAAACTCACTTTAATCTCTATTTCTTTATTGCTTGTTAGTTGGGATTATTTTCATGTCTATTTCCTTAAAAGGAGGTGTGTGACTGCTGTTGAAAATGAGCATTTTTGAACCACATGATGAGTTTGTCATTCATTTCTGTATGCTCGTCCATCAGACATTATCGGGGGCCGAGGGAGCCAGGCCCTCGAGCAAGAGTCTGCGCACAGAAACAGGAGCATGGCGCTGGGGCCCGGCCCCAACCCCCTTGACCTGGACACAAGCAGATGTGAAGCCCGTATTCATAGCCCGGAAACGCTGGCACCTCCTCCCCGCGCCCCCACTGCCACACGCCCTTGGCTCTGGTCCCCTCGGCTCAGCCTCCCGGGACCCATGGCCAGCCTCTCCGTGACACACGCCCAGCCCACTCTGCCTCCGACTTCGATGGTGGGTCCAGCGGCTGCACAGGAAGTGCTCACCTGGCCGGGAACGCGTCCCTGCAGGAAGGGGCTCCTCCTGAAGAGCAGGAGCTGGCTCGCGTAGCACGGGCTGGGCTCCCGCCCGGCCAGGTCTGCAGGGAGGCGCACCTGGATGGGGCCCAGGCTCTGCTCGGAGCTCTGAGGGTGGCGATAAAGCTGTGCCTGGGCCTCCGTCTGCCCGGCGCTCACGTGGACCCGGTGCTCGCCGCGTGAGGACAGGCAGCCCTGGAACAGCACGGGTCAGACACTGACGGGCAGGATCACCTTCCGGATCAGACCCGAGAGGCGGAAACACCTGGGAAGGCCCAAGCCAGGACTGGGCCCCAGGACGGGGCAGCCCTGTGACCGGGATGCGAGCTGCTTTTGTGTCGATGCGTCTTCCTGAGACGCTCCACTCCCTTGTGCCCACAGCTGGCTCCGTGGGCTCCTCAGCCCCAGGGAGCCAAGACCTTGACTACTACATGCAGGGCTGCCAGGGCCGCGGGCGCAGAGCAGGCAGGGCGGGAGGTGCCGTCTAAATGTGCCGACTGCTGCTCGGCTGCGGTCACTGGGCTCACATCGAACACCCGTTCACTCTCTCCTTTCCCCAGCATCACACCAAGTATCAGCTACGTGACCAGCAGGTCTGGGCAGGGGGGAGGATAAATGGGGACCGAGGAGACATGGAAACTTCTGGAAGGAACCCAACCAATCCCGACATACTGTCCTGTGGTCACTGCAGCAGGAGCACATGAAATGACCGCTGGCGGCCAGGTCTGTCGGGGCTGCTTCCACATAACACCACCACCTGCCTTACTCCCTGCGCCCCTCAGGGGACAGGCCCCATGTCCCTCATGGAAACCCACTGGACCCAGGGGACTGACAGGGGTGACATCCACTGCACATTGCACTACCCACGAAACACAGCTCACCATGAACATTCCCCAAGACCAATGTCCCTGGCATCGTAGCCATCAGACCCCAGGACCCCAGTTCATTGTGGGTTTTGAGAGCAATTACTAAGCCAGTTCCTGTCCGAGGGAGGAGCAGCCACTACCCGAGGAGGAGGGGACCGTACCAGCAGCACGTCTGCGATGGCCTGAGCACCTTCCTCCAGCAGGCGGCCCGAGCTCCTTGAGTGACCGTGGTCGCTGGCCTCCAGGACCCCGGACACGAGAAGGATGAGCTCCCGCACCTGGCCCGCCTCCACCGCGCAGCCTGCGGGGGGCCGGCTGGGGGCCAGCAGCGTGTGCGCGCAGTCGAGGATGAGAAGAGCGCTTGCGAGGCTCATCTGCGTGGAAACAGGCAGGGGTAGAGGCCCCTCCACAGCGCCCACGCCACCTGGCCTGCCCTCCGGGAGGGACACCACACGCCAGGCGGGGAGGACGGGCCAGGTCCGGATCCGGATCGGCACCAACTTCACAAGTGACAATAACTCCCCAGAGTCTATCCCCAGACCCAATAAATGACCAGAGGAGAATAACGGCCTTTGCAAGCTGAGCAAGTCCCAGGGAACGTGGCTGGGCCGTTTGCTGCTGGCGGAGGTGACCCACGTCGAAACGGTGACCGTCTGCCTGAACCGAACCCGCCTGCGGGTGCTCACGGGGCCCTCACAGGACTCCGGAGCTGCCTGAGGTCCCTGTGAGGGAAGCAGCAGGGACACACCTGGATCAAGGGACTCACCTTGTTGGGGAAGCGCAGCAGGTCCCTAAGCAGGAGGACAGAGTCGGCCGCTTCCTCCTTACCAGGAGAAACGGAAATGACAAGACAACAAGGCAGGGGAGTTAGCCGTCAGTCATGGCCGCACGACTCAGCTCACTGCGCGGAGATGGAGCAGACCCCACGTTTGGGCTCAGACAAAGGGAGGCTGACATGGGAGAGGCCGTCACCTTGGTCCCACGTTTTCCAGCCTATGTGGCCCCCCTGCCCTGCGCCCGCTGGCTACCCCCACCCCATCAGGAGGGGACCCGAGGGCTCAGGGACCAGAGTACAGCAGGGGGAGCTGGTCCCTGAGCCCCATGATGACAATGGAGTGTGCCCTTAGATGTGGCTGTTGTTGTCATGGAGACAATGGAGTGTGCCCTTAGATGTGGCTGTTGTTGCCATGGTGACAATGGAGTGTGCCCTTAGATGTGGCTGTCCTCGCCATGGTGACAATGGAGTGTGCCCTTAGATGTGGCTGTCCTCGCCATGGTGATGCCATACTGACGATGGCATAGATGTGACTATCCTCTGTGACAGTGGCAGGACAGAGGCACAGCCATGCTGGCGAGGACAGTGCCACAGCAGTACGTGGTCGCTGCCCTGGAAGCCACAGAATCGTAAGCCTCACTGCTGTGCCGTTGTTACCAGGCGGGATCGGGTTGGGTTTACATCATTTTCTCCTACGTGGCTGATGTGGGTCTAGTAACCAGCCCACTGGTCTGTGAGACGTGTGCACAAGTGAGAGCCACAGCCCCACGTCAGCGCGCAGGCCGGCCCACCAGTCTCATGACTGATGGTACCTCACAGCACGACCACTTGCTAGCGAGCTGACCGGTCTCAGTCCCTGCTGCACAGACAGACCTACAGACACTCTGGGCCATACCTGGTCCCGGGGAGCTAATCTGCAGATTGAAGAAATGAACGCGTCCTGGATTCGGGACCACTGGCCACAGGAGGGGCTCCCGCCCTCCCTAGCCCAGCGACTCAGGACCCCGGTGGTCACGGCGACGTAGTTCCTGACTTCCGTGTCACTGCCCATCTGTTGGAGGGTGGAGAGGCTCCTCAGGCTAGCATTGTACCTGAAGGACACAGAGCAGTTACCATGATCATCCAACACGTTCACAACGCTCCGGCCCGCCCACCCCAGTGTGGTATCCACGACAGAAACACTCTGGGGCGGGTCTGTGCAGAGGAAACGGAAAAGACACAGGGAGGAGTCACATCAATCCTATGAACCTCCTTTATCAGAGCTGCACAGGCCCAAGAGCCACACAGAGTGACACAGACACACGGCAGGTGAAGGGAGTCCGTGCCGAGCTGGACAGGAGACCCCGACGGCTGCAGGGGCTGGTGGTCCCATAGGCAGAGGTGATGAGCAGCACCCAGACCCACAGAGTGGATGGGATGATGCACATGGCCACGTGCGGTCAGTCCAGGAACATAGGAGTGATTCAGGGTGAAACCAATCTATGAAATGCACCAGGTCAGCAGGCGGAAGCACAAGCCCTCGTGATCATCTCAATGGATCTAGCAGAGCACTGACAAAATCCAACGGCCTTGGTGATAAAATCACCCAAATCCACGAGTGCAGGGCCTTCTCCCACCTGCTCACAGGCATCTGTGGAGAACCTACGTCAGTGCCACCCAAAGAGAGGCTGCGGGCGGACTGCGCCTGCCCAGGCCTGGGGCAGGACCAGGATCTCGGCCTCTGCCACGTCTGCTCAGCGGAAAAAGCAGCAGGAGTGCGCAGCTGAGAGGGAGTGACACCCTCTCTCATCACAGGTGGCACGTCTCATTCACAGAAAACCCCACGGAATATGCTAGAAGCCCACGAGAGCTAGCGAGTGAGTGGAAGGCTGCAGGACACACGATCCACACGCAAGTATCAGTGTACACTACGGAAAACTCCAAGTAACTATGAAAACAAGTCCATCTGTAGTAACATCAAAAAGAACAAAATACTTATGATCCATTTAACAAAAAGTTCAACGTTTGCACCCTGAAAACTGTACGATGTGACTGAGGAAAGCAAAGATCTAACTACATGGGAAACTGCTCCTGGTTGGAAGGCTCATGTTGCCAAGGCAGCAATGTTCCCAAGGTGACATCCAGGCTCCGGGCAACCCATCAACATCCCAGGGGCTTGTTGGTAGAAACGGACCAACTATTAACCAGGAGGCTCAGAGTAACCACAACAACCCTGAAGACGCAGACTCAGCTGCGGGTTCATGCTCCCATTTCACAGGTTACTTCGCACTCAGCAGTTGGACAGTGTGGTCCTGGTGTAAGAGACTTGAAGGTCAATGGAATAGCATTGACAGCCCAGAAACAGACACTAACGCTTGTGGCCCACTGACTTCTGACAAAGGGACGAAGACGGTTCGGGGGGAGGGGACCTTTCCGGCCTGTGGAGCTGGGACACTGCTTGGCTACGTGCAGAAGCGCAGGCCTGGAGCCTGCCTCGGACCACACGCCCCAGCTCCAAGGCTCAGCTCCGTGAGTGAGACCGCGAGGCTCCCAGAAGAGGGCAGGAGTGACCGTCCTGGCCTGGGGTGGGTGGTAATTTCTTAAATGCACCAAAAGCACCAGCAGTAAGAGAACAGGTTGGACTTCATCAAACTTAAAACTTTTGTGCGTCAGTGACACCACATGGAAGAGAAAACCCAACCCGCGGCGGGAGAAATGTACACAGTCACTTCCCTGACGAGGGACGTCGCCAGAACGTGAGGGACTCGCAGCCTCAGTCATGGAGAGACAGCCCGTGAAGACCATGGTGCAGGACAGACAGCGATGGTTCAAAGCCCGTGGACAGATGCCAGCACCGTCCGTCACCAGGGCCAGGCACAGAGCAAGCTGGTGGGCACGACGCGGGACCCACAGGTACACGGCAGCCGCTTGGGAAAACAGTCTGGCAGGACCTCACAATGGTCAACACAGCATCACTGTGAGACCCGGCAACCACGCCCAGGAATCGCGTGAGACAGGAAAACACGTCCACATCTACGCTCACAACAGCACCGTTTGCACCGGCCATCAGCTGATGATGGAGAAAAACCATGGTGCATCCAAGACAAACTGTCGTTCAGTCACAAAGAGGAATGAGGTCTGGCAACAAGGCTGCACCTCACACACGAAACAGGAAGTGTGTCCAGGAAGCCAGTCACAGAAGACCACCTGGGGCATCACCCCATGGACATAAAAGGTCCAGAATCAGCCAATCTGGGGACAGAAGTGGGCTCTCGGATGAGATCCAGGGCTGGGGCTGGAGGGAGGAAGCTGGGTGGGGGCAGGGATGGGACCAATGAGAACAAGGACTGTGGGATCGATGAAATGTCCTCATCTGGCAACTGTATTTATAGGAAACCCAAGGATGTGTGCACTGCAGACAGGCGAACCCCATGGTATACGAGTGACACCCCATGTAGAGTGAGCTGTGCGAAGAAAGATGACGAGCGGTACAGCCCCAGAGCGCAAGCGGGAAGCCCGCACAGACGTCGGGGACTGGGCTGCAGGCGCCACCACGTATTCCACGGAGGCGGCTGGGGACACAGAGCCTCACTCACACATCCTCGCCGGGGCAGCGGTCCCCCTGGAGACGGGGCAGCACAGTCACGGCCACGGCACAGGGCTGCGTCTGGGAGCCGTCACCATCGGTGATCACAGTGGACACCAGGACTGGAAGGGACAAGCAGAGGTCAGCGGCCTGTGTCGGCAGAGAAACTTCTTCAAACGCAATGGCAAGGGAGGGACGGAGCCCAGAGGACCAGTCCCGACACCACGGGCCCACCTGTGTGCTGGGCGCTGACGGGACCCCCAGGAGGCAGAGCTGAGGCGACTCCACACGGAACAGGGCAGGCGGGGGGTGCGTGCGTAGCCGGGAGGGAAGCAGCCCGCAAAATGGGGAGGGGGCAGGCAGCCGTCGTGCGGAGGGTCAGGAAATGAGTCATGGCTCACACGCTCACTCCCTGTCACTGGCCTGCACTGTGTACCCGCGGCAGCAAGATGCCATGGTGACCAGGACTGCCCTGTCTCACCCTCCCTGCCTACTCAGGACTACAGTCAAGTTAAAAACGTGGTGAGTGCCGGAGCGGGCAAGGCCAGGGAGGGGTCCGCAGACCCCGAGGTGCAGGTCCAGGCTGGTACTGCTGGGACCAGGGCCGAGGGAGGGCAGGGCTATGGCAGGTCCAGACGAAGGCGTGGAGAACCCCACTGAAGTCATTTATGCACAGACATGGGCAGGGCAGGAAGCGGCTTTTTGGGGACTCGGGAACTCCCTCCTGTGACAGGGCCAGGGTTTGTGGTGGGGGCCCTGCTGGGGAGGCGGAGCTGAGTCCTGCCCACCATCTGTCTGTCTGTCTTGGACTCACCTCGATAACCGTCCATGGGCTCCCCAGCTGGCAATGCAAAGTAGTGCTGGGCGTCTGTCCCCCGGTACAGGGTGTACTTGGAGGCGTTTCCTATCTGGTAACCAAACTCATAGCGGAAGTCCTGCGATCCGTTCCATAGTGAAGGAAAGAGCACAGGTAAGCAAACAGCATTACCCCCAGTAAGTCCTCACACCCCGTCCTCACCCACCCGAGGTCAGGCACAGATGGGCTGGGGCAGGTACACGCGGCTGTGTCTGTCACTCGCGGCTGTGGGCCCTCCAGGCCAGGACCTGGGACAGTCACAGATGCACAGAGTGGGGGGGATGAGGCTGCACCTCTGCTTCCCCCTGGGGGACACAACACTGGGCGATGGGACAGGGCATTTATGGGAAACACCTTCAGCCTCAGAGCAGGTCTGCAGTGAGTGCCGGGTCAGGGCCTCCTGAAGATGCGCAAGGGGGTGGCGGGGGCAGTCCAACACAACACGGGGCAGGAGGACGCTCATACCCCCAGCGTTTCATCAGAGGCAGACGGGGCCTATCCTTCAGGACAGACGGGGTCTGCGTGCTCACCGGTCTCCCCAACATGCAGAAGACGCTGAAGACGGTGTCTGCCTCGAGGCCGCGGTGGGGCTGCACCTGGCAGGCCACGTCCCGCGGAGCCTGGTTGACAGTCACATACAGCTGAGCCTTCCCTAGAAAGCTGTGCCCCGAAGCTGCAGACAGAGGGGGTGACACCTGCATGCTGGGAACCAAAGGCAGCCCCGGAGGTTCCCAAAGCGCAGACCGTGTGGTCCCCAGATCTGCGGCTTTGGCGTTGCTGTGACCTTGACAGACCTCGACCCCGGGGCCACCCCAACCTGCTGGGTCAGACCCAGAGGGGCCGGCAATCTGCGCCAGCGCCTGCCTCAGGGGACACTGGGCCCGGGACCCCTGCCATGTGGCGCCCACTGATGCAGCACCATTTGGGTGCTCGCTCGCTGGGGCAGCTGTGCCCGAGGCCCTGAGAGATTGGTGGACGGACGAGACCTGGGAGCCAGACAACAGCCTCGCAGGCAGAATCCACCCCCAGCAAACCAGACCCTCCACTCCCGCTGTGTGCAGCCCTGTCCGGAACACGCAAGTATCGCTGCTGACTCTACCACACTGATAGGGTTTATATTTGGTTTCTATAAGCTGCACCGATACTGTAAATGTTTCCTGTGATGCCACACAGCATTCAAAATCAATGTCATAAAGAAGTATAGTATTCTCTAAACTGCATAACGATTGTTTCCCAATGACTAAACATTTCATTTTCCATTACTCTGAAATGATAATTCTCATGCATAAAGTTGTTTTTTACTTTCGATGTCTTTTTCTTGAAATAAATTACAGGCACGAGTTACATGTGTTAAATTGTGTAACTCCGAGGACGCTGACCCTCATCCTAACAGCAGGCCCGCGGCTTGGCTCCCCGCCAGGCCCAGGGGCCACCTACCCACCGCTGCCTGCAGGACGTATGTCTCTCCAGGGCGCAGTGAGTACGGCTTCACTGTCACCGTCTGTCCCGTGATCCCTGCGGAAAAGGAGGGGCGGGGACCACTTGTCAGGGCACCCCAAGGGCAGCAGCTCAGACACACCCTTCCTCGGCCACTGCAGCCGAAGGAGGCAGAGGTCCCATTAGCCCTGCTCGTCTCACCCGGAAATGCCACGTCTGTTCGTTACCTCCGGCCCCTTATTACAAAGCACGAGGCTCATCTCTGCTCCCGCTCAACAGAGTCAAACTGAGCCCGGTCCTGGCACCGGTCAGAAAGGCCCTCGCCTCCCAGGAAGGAGTGGGCTCTGGGAAGAACGCTGTCCATGTATTTTGAGGAGGCCCCTAAACCAGGTGGGTCCCTTTCAAACGACATCCTAGTACAGTGGTCGGCAAACTGCAGCTCTCGAGCCACATGCGGCTCTTTGGCCCCTTGAGTGTGGCTCTTCCTAAGCCTTAGGAGGACCCTAATTAAGTTAATAACAGTGTACCTACCTATATAGTTTAAGTTTAAAAAATGTGGCTCTCAAAAGAAATTTCAATCGTTGTCCTGTTGATATTGGCTCTGTTGACTAATGAGTTTGCCAACCACTGGCCTAGTGTCTGCAGGAGCGAGAGGGACTCCTGGACCCGAGCAAGCTGCTGACCATGGGGCCCGAAATCTCAAAGAAAGAGGCTCACTCAGCCACGCCATGCTCCTCGGGCAGCATCCTGCACTCAGTCTGCAGGCCCGGGGCCCACACCCCAGCAGGCGCCCCCACTGGCCTAGTGTCTGCAGGAGCGAGAGGGACTCCTGGACCCGAGCAAGCTGCTGACCATGGGGCCCGAAATCTCAAAGAAAGAGGCTCACTCAGCCACGCCATGCTCCTCGGGCAGCATCCTGCACTCAGTCTGCAGGCCCGGGGCCCACACCCTGGGAGGTGCACACACACCCTGGGAGGCGGGCCCACACCCTGGGAGGTGCACACACACCCTGGGAGGTGCACACACACCCTGGGAGGCGGGCCCACACCCTGGGAGGTGCACACACACACCAGCAGGCATACAGGATGCGTGCACTAGGGGGCGGCACTGTCCTCTGTGCCTGTGCCTGCTCAGCAGCCTCTTCCCCTTACTTTGCAAAAGGGGGGACACCCGCAGGCCTGTGGCCACTGAGGGACGAGCACAACTAAAGAGGCATCGTGACCCCCAGTCTGTCTCTAGTCCAAGGAGAAGGCACAGGAGCAATGGGGGGAGGGGGAGGCTGGTGTTGGAACCTCTGCAACCGCTAAGGTTCCAGGGCAGAGGGGCGCTCGTACCGGACGTGGTGTGGCCCTGGAAAACAGCTCGGCTCACGGGGGACTTGGGCCAGTCGACCAGGAGTGCAGGCCGGGCACTGGCGGTTGGGAGGAAGGGGCCCACCAGGTTGTCCCCATCCCCACGGCTCCCGTCCTCACTGGCACCGGGTCCCGACGCTGAGAGGTGCATGCTGGTCCCTAGGAGACACGCCAGGTCAGGGATGGCGGAGACAAAGGAGGCCATGGTTCCCTTAAAGTGCTAGTGGTTCAAGGCTGAGATCAGTGCTGCCCACTCTCTCGGGACCCGCTTGTCTAAACGTCTCCGACGGCACAGAGGACGAATGTCGCCCCGCACGATCAGTGGCTCCGCGGCATTTCCTCAGCTCACATGTGCTCGGGCCACGGCCAGGAGTGAGTCTACGGGAAACACCACGGCAGACGGAGCGGGCCCTGCCATGTGGACGTCTAGGTGAGGGTGTCAGGAAACACTCGAGGAAACACACCACGAGCAGAGGGAAGCCGGTGACAGAAGTGCCCTGGGGAGACAGAGCAGGTGCACGGAGGGGCTGGGACGGGCTGTTCTAGGGCCGGGTGGGCAGCCTGGGAGAGGCTCAGACAGAGGGAATGGGCTTTAGAAACAGCTGCTCAGGGAGGGTCTGGGTGCGGCTGGAGGGGGAGCAGGAAAGAAGAGAGGAGACCTCAGCTCCCTCCGTCGTCCCCCGTGTGGGGCCGGGAGGCAGGCCTGGCGTGCTGGGCTGGGCTGGGTGTGAGAGGTGACTGGGCTGCGGGCCCGGGCAGAGAGACAGTGTCTGCCTGTCCAGCGGGGGGAGGGTGCCGGGCTTGCTCAGGAAACGCCGACTTCGGACTCCAAACAAATGCCGTTAAACAAGGTGAAGTGATAAAGTGGATCCATGTTGGGGTTAGAAGGACTGAACCACCAGGAGGAGTGACTTGTGAACGCAGGCCTTTCTCTCATTCAACGTTATTTATGAAGCGCCTGCTGGGAGTGTGAAGCGAGCCCCTCACGGGCCTGTGGGAGCAGAAGGAGTGTGGAGTGGCCAGAGGAACCAGCGTCCAGGCAGATCAGGGGGACGGCCACAGAGCACAGCACAGTGAGTCGTAAACAAAGGGCTCACTGACCACCCACCTGGTCATGCGGTAGACAAGTCACTCTCACTCACTCATTATTCATTCAACAAACGAACTGTTCACGATTGTGCATCTATTAAGCATTGTTCATGGGCTGGATGAACCACTCACTCCTGGTCCTGCGTTGTCAGCGAGAACATGCTCACTGAGGGCCAATACAAGTGTACAGCTGCCTTGGAAACCTTCCCTTCCCAGACAAGAGAGAGCTAAAGGAGTTCGTCGCCAACAAACCGGCATTACAAGAAACTTAAAGGAACGTCTTTAAAAGAAGAAGGAAAAAAAAGATCAAAATTATAAATAATAAAATGGCGGAAATTACATGTCTGTCAGCAATCACTCTGACCAAAAGATGTAGGATGGTGAATGGACAAGAAAGCAAGACCCTCACATGTGCTGCCTACAAGAGACCCACTCAGATCCACAGGTGCAGGCTGGGAGTGGAGGGTGGAAAAGATATTTTGTGGAAATGGGAACTTGAAAGGCGGGGCAGCAGTAACTATACCAGGACATTTAAAATGAAGGCTATACCACGAGATAGAGAAGGACCAGCAACTCTACTTCTGGGTGCTTATCTGAAGAAACTCAAACACTATTCAAAGAGACGTGTACACTCCTGTGGTCACCGCAGTGTTTTTACAGGAGCCAAGACGTGCACGCAACTGAGTGCCCAGCAGTAGACGCGCATATAGGATGGAATGTGACTCAGCCGTAGGAAAGGGTGAAATCTTGTCATTTGTGACAGCATGGAGGGACCTCAAGGGTACTGTGTTGAGTGAAACAAGTCAGACAAAGATAAATACCATATAATTTCAATTATATGTGGAATCTAAAAAAACAAATGAACAGAAAGACTCATAGATACAGAGAACATACTGGTGGTTGCCAGAGGAGAGCGGTTGGGGGATGGGTGAAGAAGGTGAAGGGATTGAGAAGCACAGATTGGCCCTGGCCGGTGTGGCTCAGTGGATAGAGCATCGGCCTGTGGACTCAAGAGTCTCGGGTTCGATTCCGATCAAGGGCACATGCCCAGGTTGTGAGCTCGATCCCCAGTGGGGGCATGTAGGAGGCAGCAGATCAATGATTCTCTCTCATCATTGATGTTTCTATCTCTCTCCCTTTCCCTTCCTCTCTGAAATAAATAAAAATATATTTTTAAAAAAGAGAAGCACAGATTGGCTGTTACAAAATAGTCATAGGGCTATGAAGTATACAGCACAGGGAATATAGTCAATAGTATTGTAATAGCTATGAATGGTGCCGGGTGGGTACTGGAAATATCAGGGGGACCACTTAGTAAAATATATAAATGTCTAATCACTATGGTGTACACCTGAAATTAATGTCATATCCTCTGTCAACTAAAATGGAAAAATAAAAATTATTTTAAAACAAGAAACATGCCTTGCAGAGCAGAGTAGAGAGACAGAAAGAGCCCGAGGACAGTGGGGTGGGGGTACACACTCTGGGCTGGGGAGGGGCGGTGACGAGAGGCATCAGAGCCGCCCGGGAAGAGGAAGCTGTGAGGTGAGGCCTGGGAGGAGCGCCGAGGGAGGCCTGTTGGCAGATGCCGGCCTACATCTGAGGACAGGAGAGGGGCCGTGTCTGGGCCTGGGCTCCCCAGCAGCTGAGCTAGAAACAGGGCCAGACCGTGCCACCCAAAGGAGCGCAGACTGCCCTCGGCCTTGGAGCACAGGGAGGGGTGTGGGTTCAGAGGAGAGCAGACTCACAGGCAGCCGGCTGCCGTCCTCTCGAGGGCACCGCTTCTTGGACGTCACTGTAATAGGCCTCAAAGTCTGCATGAAGGACAGAATGAGAGCGTTTCCCGTAAACCAGGCTCCCCTGAAACACACAGGACCCCGAGGGAGCACACACGTCGTCCTGGGCCACCTCAGAGCCCCAGCCCTGCTCTGCGGGCACAAAACCCCCAGAGGCCATGCCCAGCACATGGGACAGGGGGGAGGCAGTCACTGTCCCTGCTCCTCCAAGGAGTAGGGCTCCGTGTGGTTAGCTGGGGGGATGCCGAGGCCCAGAACTGTCCTCCAGGGGCCTCGCTCTTGTCTCCCATGGGAGACACCGACAGGAGTGTCCGGCTGCCACTGTCACCTTTCTGTCCCCAGGCATTTCCCTCCAACACTTGAGGGGTTCATGGAGGCTCTCCCACCAACGACCCCAAGGCTGGGACTCTGGGGTGCAGGCCTTTGCCAGGGCACAGGACCATGACCCTGAGCGGCCACGGTGGATGGCGTCAGGGCGGGACAGGAGGGGCAGGTGAGTGCTGGGCCAGAGCCTGGATCACTGACAAGGAATGTCTCTCACCTTCTAGGCACCGAAATAGCTCCTGTCCCACCTGAAAGCGGGGACACCGGGCACCCGTGGTCATTGGGGAGGAAGGATGAGGAGGTGGTGTGGGCAGAGCCTGGCTCAGTTGACTCTCCCGGGTCCCGTCAGAGACGAACACCAGGCCCGGAGGGCACCTCCAGGGTGAGGGCAGGTACCAGTGAGGGGACAGCACTTACCAGGGGGGTGAGGGGTTGGGCTCCCCGGGGACCCCTCATCCCAGGGATCCCCTTCTGGGGCCACAGGGTCACCAGCAGCAGGAACTTGGGGTGTAGGGACCGTGGACTCCGCAGAGGCTCTCCCCGTGGCTGAGAGGTCAGCCTGGGCCAGGGTCCAGGGCCATGGCTTCTGAGCGAACTGCACAGGCGTGACATGTGGCTCTGCCCGGCGTGGCCCCAGGGACCATGGGTCGGACTCAGGAAGCTTCGACACAGACCCCAATCCTGAGGAGCCCAGCAGCCCCACGGTTCTGCAAAAGGGAACTTGAACACAGAAGACATTTGGTTTCTCTACGTGTACAGATTCCACGAGCATGTTCTGTCCTGAACAACCACCACGTGAAACTGCACCGAGGTGTCGCGGGGCAGCCCGGCTGCTGGGAGGCTGGCCCGTCCATCTCCCCTGGGTTCGCCTCCCGCAGGCCCCTCCACACGCTCTGCACCCCACTGGGGCGTTCACAAGGACGCTAGAAACTTCTGGGCGCATGGAGCCTCTCCTGACCCGCATCCACCTGTCCGTGCCGCAGAGTGCCACAGGACTTAGGAAACAGGGTCAAGAACAAGGAACAACTTTGCAAGGACGTGGAAGCAGAGCCCACAGCCATGTCAGCATCCCTGTCGCCACGTGGGTCAGATTCTGTGAGGACAGGGCAGGGCCACACCCGAGAGGACGAGCGCCGGCCCTGGAGAAAGTGGTGACCCTGCGCCCTGGGACACTGAGCACAGGCTGGGCTTCAGACCCACACGGTCACCGGCCAGACGGCACGCAACCCTCCGTGTCATCCTGTTCCTTCAACATGAGGCCACTCCCAGTGTGTAAGCTTCCCGTGGCGCCGAGGAAGCATAAACACGTGAGGAGTGGGCGGCACCGCCCTGCTGGGGGCCGCGCAGCCAGCCCAGAACATACCCCTCCACTGTCCGGTCCACGTGGCCCCGGCACGACGTCACCCCCGGCCCAAAGCCAGGAGCCTGCCGCCCACAGGCCACGCCCGCCACCAGGGCTGCATTCCCACATGTGACTTCTCGGGATTTCACCTCTTTGCAAAGTCTTAGGACCCACATTTTCCACCCAAGAAAAGAGTCTCAGAGCAGTGCTCCCATCACAGCCGGTGTGCGGAGGGAGGACCACCTTCCACGGCTCCCCTGCTGGTCCCACGTGAGGTCCCGAGGACAGCAGGAGGGGAGGGACAATGGCCCCAGCAGAGTGGCCGGGGCGTGTGCTATTTCAAAGCGCTCAGTGCGTTTGTCACCCAGGAGAGCTGCCCCAGCGGGTACGGCGCAGCCCCGCTGCCCCCAGGCTGAGAGCAGCAGCTGAGGCTCCTCATCTCGGCTGTCACCACCGCCCTCCCAAGTGTGAAGCCAGGAGGGACTGGGGATGAATAGCTCATGGCCAAGACCAGACACGTTGGGTCAAACCAATTAGATCTCACACATTTTAGCAATCTCAAAATAACTGCTCAGCCAACAAAGCCAAGCATCGCATGCCCTCGCTGGCTCGGCTCAGCGGGTAGAGCATCGGCCCGTGGACTGAAGGAGTCCAGGTTTGATTCTGGTCAAGAGCACATACCTCGGTTGCAGGCTCAATCCCCAGCCCAGGCCAGGTGCTTGCAGGAGGCAACCAGTCTCTCTCACATCCATGTTTCTCTCTGTCTCTCCCTTCCACTCCCTCTCTCTAAAAAAATAAAATGAAAACGAAGCTGGTCTGTACCTTCCTCTCTGTCCCTTCCTGTCGCGTTGACCAAAAAGAGGTCCCAGGAGTAAGAGAGGGCCGCCTCCCCGCAGTCTTCACAAGCCGCCCTCAATGAAAGCTCCTCGTTCCAGTTCACAGGGACGCCTCGGAATGTCTCCCAGGAGATGTGCACGCGCCTGCAACGTGCAAACCAGGCCGGAGCTCCAGAAAACAGGGCAGAAGCTCTGGCCGCATTTTCCAGGTCAGGTCTGTTCAGATCACCTGGTCCCAGGGGCCGACGCACCACCTCACCCCACCGCTCAGGGAGGCTGAGCGCTTCCCCCAGGAAGCCTCTGGAGCTCGCCCAGCACGGGCTGTGACCACGAGGTGTTTTTACACAAGTAACTGCCCAGACCCCCTGCAGGGTCCAGGGACGGAGGCTGCCTGCCCGGTGTCCCGCGGAGCTGAGGGCACTAGGCGGCACCCACCCCCGCCCACCAGGAGGCCAGAGCAGCTGTGGCACATGCCGACCTGCGTTCAGGGTCTGGGGCTGGGCGTGGCCCTCGGTGCCCGTGGCCTCCGTGACGTCACACTCAGCTCACAGGTGCCTCCCCCCTGTGGGCTCACGGTGCCCAGTGGCGCCTGGAGGCCAAGACAGAGGCCCCGAGACACTCAGCCTCTGTGCCCTCGGCCCTGGGGCTAACTCCGTCTCCAGGCAGCTGCTGGGATGCGAGGGCATCTCCCCCTGGAGCCCCACTGTCAGCACAGCGGGTCGGTGTCTGAACTCATCTCCCACGCACACAGTGGGTTTCTTTGGTGGCCCCCCCCCCCAGCCTGGCCTGGGGCACCCAGATGGGCATTGTGGGGCAGCGGGGCAGCTGGCACCTGAGCGCCACGTCGGGGAGGGTGGACAGGAACACCTGCGCCTTGGAAGAGTTCCGGCCATGGCTGGACACCGTCAATGTCACAAGAAACTGGTCGTAGCCACTGCTGAGAGAGTCCGCTGCGAAGGACAGGGTGGGCGCCCCGGCATCCGGGCTGTGTGCAGAGGGCCCAGTGAAGCAGGGGCGCCCAGGGGCACTGGCTGGGGTGCAGGCCCAGTGATACCTGTGGGGAAGCGATGGAGGGGCTGACGTGCCGGCTCTGGTTAGTTAGCGACCGTGGTGTCACCAAGTGGCTTTCCTGGGGGGCCTGCCAGGGAGCAGAGGATGGTTCTCAGGGAAGCATGTTCCAGGTTACCGACGTGGACGGTGTTCGTGGAGGGTCTGTGCTCAGGGGTTAGCGGAGTGTGGACAGTGTCCATGGCAGGACACTGGGTCAGGCACCCAGGGATGGGGAGTGGGTGGAGATGAGGACCAAGGCCTGAGCCCAGGGACCCGACACTGAGGGACCCAACACATAGAGGCTACTCATGTTTATTTCTGCCCCTTTCCAAAGCTCCCTTACATTTTGATCCTAAATGAAACACTACTTTGATAAAAGTATAAGTCCTTAAAATTGTGTAGATTATAACTCAGCGCCCCAGAGCTGAGTGTGGAGAGGGCAGAGGAGGAGAAAGGCTGGGACGAGGAGGAGGGGCCCCACAGCCCCAGTGCTCACCTCAGAGTGGCCCCGGGCCTGTCGGGGTCGTAGGACAGGGACCCCCTGAGGACCATGGTAGACAAGGGGGTCCTGGGGATGAACAGGTGTGTGCCCTCGGAGATCACGCTGACAGGCGCCCGGGCGCACACCTCCACTCCCACGCAGTAGTTGCTGTGCACGGGACTGCCTCGCACCTGCACCTGGAATGTGGGCGACAAGGGGGCGTCAGTGAGGCAGGCAGGGTGCCCACTAGAGACAGAGGGGCTGGAGTCTGGGAGCAGGAGGCCCACTGGGGACAGAGGGGCTGGGGTACAAGAGCAGGAGCATTTTCCTCTCCGTGTCTGTGTTAACATGAAGCTGGGGTTCTGGGTCTGGGGACATACACCCAACTATTCCCTGGTTTATAACCTGCTCTGCCGACAGTAAATTTTCCCATGGTGTTGATTTTGTTTAGCTTACCCTGCTTAAGCTCCCTTTCTAACCCCAAACACATCATGGCCTTAAAGGAATGCCAGGGATTTAAGAGAACCCTCCTCTGGGACGGACCAGTCTGGGTCCCAGGGTCTCTGAGGCTGATGGGAAGGGAGCATGAGCTTGGGCAGGTGCCACCGCCAGCTGCCACCCACTTGGGCCAGCGCAGTGTAGTTCCCGGGTTCCAGGAAGTAGTGGGGGACAGTGAAGGTCTGCCTGTGGGTGCTGATGGCAGGAGGCAGGGGCACCGGCGACCCCGCGGAGTTGGTGAGGCTCCAGCTGTAGGAGAGGCCTTGGGAGATGTCACAGAGAATGGCGGCTTCGAAGGTCACTCCCAGTGTCACAGGCTGGGCCCGCCACACCTGCGTGAGGAGAAAGATGTCTCGTCAGAAATGCGTCTGCCTGTTCCAGAGGAAGTGGCTCAAGACGCAGGACTTCAGCTCTGTGTCTGTGTGATCACAGGCAGTGAGAATAAAGACTTATACACTCCATGAGAAAAACCCCTATAAGCATAAATTAATGGGAAAATATGAAAGGAAAAGGTCAATAGATTTGATTATATAAAAATTTTAAACTTTGAATATAAAATATTATTTAAAAAGCAATCAAAGAAAAAGGGAAATCATTTGCAAAATATATGACAGGGTTAATATTTAAAATCAGTAGAAAATTTTCAAAGTCTCCAACAGAAAACCGAGCAACTGATCATTGGAAACCGAGCAATTGATCCCTGGAAACAAAAGAAAGTAACTGGATTTCAAACAAGTAACAGAGAACATTCAGGTGCAGTGCAAGTGCAGATCTTGCCCAGTGGAACGAAGGTGCAGTGCAAGTGCAGATCTGGCCACAGGTGCAGGGCGCCCCCTGGAGGACTTTTAGTGAAGCTCTCCTGTTGAAACTGGAAAGAGCCCAGTCTGGAGCTGGGAAGTAGGACTTTAAACAACACGTTGGTATTTGTTGCAAACAACTTTACCTTAGGCTTTCTTTAAGTGACTCTAGTCATTATCTAAATTACTTTACAATTGTGCTTATTGTTTCTATCCTGGATATGAGCGATCCCAGCATGTGTCACTTCACAGCCCAGATTTGTGGGCACCTAACACTGAGATGCTGATTCTTATCCCAGTGATCATAACACACAAAACTAGGCAATGCCTGGGGTGGGAGTGGCTCTGAGAGGCTGACGTGGGCCAGGGTTCTCCAGGCCCCAGAGAGCTGTGAGGTCCTGGGGCTCAGGACCTGGAGGGAGAATCCCATGGAAAGGCCACGGCCCTGGCCTGGCCCTGGGCGTGTCTGTGCTCCCTCATCTCCGCGGCCACATCCGGGTGGGAGGCGCCCGACCTGAGACTCAGGCCCAGCGACTACCCTCTGCTAGAAGCCACGGAGAGCTCCTGGCAAATGCAGCCGCACCACGGAGCTCCGACCAGCCTCTGCTAGAAGCCACGGAGAGCTCCTGGCAAATGCAGCCGCACCACGGGGCTCCCGTGCGTCTGCGTGTGGGCACTCTGACCCTAAAAAGGAGAAGTTGCTCCAGGTCAGAAGCCTCCAGGGGTAAAAGGACTAGGAAGCAGCCCTAGTTTTATCCCCACAGCAGGTGCTCACCGAGCAAATGACCACCTCCCGGCTCTCCTTTCTCCTGAACACGCTCCAGTTCCTAGCACAGGGGTCTCACAAGCTCGTCCAGATGCACTGAGCCGGACCCAGAGTAACGGGCGAATGGAGGCCGACTCCGAGGCCTGAGGCAGGCGTGTCCCTTGCTGGGGCCGGTCGACTCCGGGACCTCGGGAGCCCACCCAGGTGCCCTCACGACCCACACAGGGGGCTGACCTGGAGGAGTGTCCCTGCTCGCCCCCCGCCCCCCCCGGGAAAGGCTGACGTTGGTCGGTGATGCAGGCCTGACCTGCACTTGCCCTGGCCCCATGTTCTTCACAGGGGGCGGCTGGCAGGGCCTGCGCACGATGAAAAGGCGCTTCCTCAGGGAGACGGCGCTGACGGCATTGAAGGCGACGACCTCAACCGTGAACTCTCCTTCCCTGGGAGGAGACAAGCACAAACACGGAGACAGAGTCCACCCAGGCCGGCCCTTCATCCTCACACCCAGCAGGTCTGTGTGTCACGGTCAGGAGGCCATCCCAGAGGCCACCAGGCCCATCCATAGGCGCTGCCCGCCCAGCACAGGCCGGACAGACACCGACCCAGACGGCTGGCACCTGCTGTGCGAGGAGCAAGCACCCGCAGGGGACATGCTGCCTCCCTCCTAGAAGCCCCACCCCACAGCAGGGCTCGCCCCTCTGTACCCCTCAGGGACACCCTCAGGTCCCCAGGTGGTGGGCACCCGGACCTGGGTCTGGGGACCTCCGGACCTCCGTGTGCTCTGTTTCCTGTCCCGGAGGTGGCAGACCCCACTGCCTGGAGGCGAGGCCAGCCGGTGGAGGCGGGGGGGCGGGCAGAGGGGCGCAGCTGGGCGAGAGGCCAGACCGGGAAGAGTGTGGCAGGTAGTTCCTGGCCAAGAGGTGGTGCTTTCTGAGGAAACGCATGTTTGTTCTGCAAATGATGCCCGTGGGCAGGCACTCAGGACTGCAGGGGTCGCACACGGAGGTCCCGGAGCACGAGAACGCGGGTCCTGCTGACCGTGCGCTCACCTGCTGTAGACGTGGCTGGCGGAGCTGTTCCCCCGGCCACCAGTGCCGTCCCCAAAGTCCCAGCGGTAGGCCACGTCGGTGCCGAAGCTGACTCTGCACTGGAAGGTCACGGGAGCGTTCACCAGAGCCGAGTCCGCGGCCACGAGTCCGCTGGCCACCACTCTCCTCTGCGCCTGGACACGGTGGGGCTCCGAAGCCACACTGCCCATTCCATTGGAAGCCTGCACCACCACTCGGTACCTGTGGGGGGACAGGAAGGTCAGGTGGTGACCAGCGCCAGGTCAGAGAGAGACTCTGAGAGAAACTCCACCGTTCTCCCAAGAAAGGCGGGAGCTAGCGGTCATCTTGAGGAATGATGGGGCACCCGGTGGCTGCGCCTCACTGGGCAGAGGGGTGACACCTTGACCTCCCTCTTGATCGTGGAGGCACCAGGCACGGCCATGGAGAGACTGCCACCGTCCTTACCGGAGGAACATGCTGAGGCCGCCATGGGGCGGAACGGCACCTGCGCCTGGACTGCCCGGTTTCAAGGCCCCACCCTCCGCTGCGGCCCTCAGATCTACGTGTGACCAAACCACAGGCAGCGCTCCGTGTGCGGGTGACATGACCTCATGTCAGCGCCAGCTCGGCATCTGCAGGCTGCGCCGCGCCTGCCACAGCTGCCCGTGGTGAGGACCACTACGCACCACTGGGGGGCACCGAGCCTTCTCTGGATGCTCCTGCGCCTGGTCCTCACGGGCAGGTCTTCTCCGAAGAACCACGTGAACTCCAGGGGAATAGTTTCCTTGGTAACGGCCACAAAAGTGATGTCGGTGTCAGTGGCAAACACAGTTCCATTGGTGTAGACAGAGACGGCTGTGACAGAGGGGGTAAGGGGTACCTCAGCGGGAGGGCTGGGATCTGCCAGGGAAGTTGCGTCCCCACCTTCCCGCGTGGCCACGGGCATCTGGACGCCTGACTGTACACGGAGCCGTGGTGGGCACCCGGGGGCACTGGGCCCAAGCTCATCAGGGGACCCGGCCCCTCTGCTGACTCTGCATGGAACTGCCCACCTGCTCAGGCCTCCAGGTCTGCGGTTCATGGCGAGTGGGGCCTCGGCAGAGCGAACCACAGACCTGGTGCTGCCATGGCCTTCACCTCAACTGACTGCACAGGGTTCATTAGACCTGGAGTCAGAATAGAAACGTACGCTGCATCCGATATCGCACGGCCATGCTGGACCAGGCCCGCCTGCCCCCCACGTGGGTCTGCAAGGCGAAGGACACGTTACAGGAGGAAGTGGGTGGAAAACGGTGGGAAACGGTGGTGCCTGGAAGGAAAGTGAAAGGCAGAGGGAGACCGTCTCAGAGCTGCTTCCCTGGTCACACACGCCCACAGTTCCCATTCCTCCATCTTCTCTCCTTCAATTCCAATACATTCAAAATTCAAAGTTTGTGTTTTGGAAACAGACAGGCCTGGGAAACATGTACTTTGTCACAAAATTTCTCTCAGTAAAATGTTAAGTGTTGCCCGGCTGGTGTTGCTCAGTGGTTAAGCATCGACCTATGAACCAGGAGGTCACAGTTCGCTTTCCGGTCAGGGCACATGCCTGGGTTGTGGGCTTGATCCCCAGTGTGGGGCGTGCAGGAGGCAGCCAGTCAATGATTCTCTCTCATCATTGATGTGTCTATCTCTCTTTCCCTCTCCTTTTCTCTCTGAAATCAATAAAAATGTATATATTTTTTTAAAAGTTAAGTGTTTTCTCTCTGGAGAGGGCCCTGCCTGGACGCTGTGTCGGTGCCTTTGAAATGGTTTGCTTCTGTGTTGCATGGGGACTTGCGAGGATGTGGACGCCCAGAGCATGGGGCCGGGTGCCCAGCCCCCAGGTGCACGGCTTACTTCTCGGATCCGTGGGGGAGCCCCCGAAGGCACACATGTGGCCCCTGAGGACACTGCTGGCATTCAGGAACACAGATGTGGCCTCGGGGCCCAGTTCCACGTAGTAAGGCCCAAGTCGCACCTCAGCTCCGTGAGACTCACTGTAAAGGACCACCTGGAGCGCGTAGACACCGTCTGCACAGAGAAGAAGGGTGGTTGCTTGGGGAGTGTGACAAGCACGCACAGCAGCTAACGCTGTGGCTTGGCCGGGGAGCGGGGCAACCAGCGTGTGAAATGACATGACACACAGAGGCCACGCTGTTCCTTTCTCCGTGGGAACAGGGCCGTCTCGTGGGCTCGCTCCCCTGCTGTGGCTCAGCCCCCCACTCCACAGGGCGCAGCACATGGCTTCACACCCTGCTGTCTCACACTCTTAGGAAGGTTATTAACAAGGGGAGGCATCTTCATTTAGCCTTGGGCCCTGAGGATTACGTAGCTAATTCTGTGTGGAAAAGTCGCAAGAATGAAAATAGATGTTGGCCTCCCACAGCTGGGCAAGAAGACACTTCAGTAAACCGTCCAGTGGAAATGGACTGTAGGACCATCACGGCAGGTGACAGAGTGGCCCCGTGCTTCTTGGCCTCACACCGGATGACACAACCCCGTGACCCTGCAGGCCGCCCGCTCAGGCTGGCCATCTCCACCCCGTGAACTGGTGCCAGACTGGGCAGATGCCTGCTCATGGACGGCTCTCCTCAGCTGTGTTCGTGTGAAGAAGCTGGGGAGCCCGCTGAGTCACACGAGACCCCTGACTGACGTCCCCATCGCCCTGGTGGCAGCCAGCCCACCACCAGGAGCAGCCTCCGACGGAAACCGCCTGAGAGGAGGAGCTCCGGGCTGCGGGCGGTTGTAACACGGCGGCAGGTAATGACCGTCAGCAGCTCCCTAATCCAGTGATGGCGAACCTATGACACGCGTGTCAGAGGTGACACGCGAACTCATTTTTTTGGTTCTTTGTTAAATGGCACTTAAATATATAAAATAAATATCAAAAATATACATATTTGTTTTACTATGGTTGCAAATATCAAAAAATTTCTATATGTGACACGGCACCAGAGTTAAGTTAGGGTTTTTCAAAATGCTGACACGCCGAGCTCAAAAGGTTCGCCATCACTGCCCTAATCCCAACCCCACCTGTGGGTTTTCACTTGCTCATCTGACTCCCAGCTTTAACATGTTAGGTCTGTGCTCGGCAAACTGGGGCTCGCAAGCCACATGCGGCTCTTTGGCCCCTTGAGTGTGGCTCTTCCTAAGCCTTAGGAGTCCCCTAATTAAGTTAATAACAGTGTACCTAGCTATATAGTTTAAGTTTAAAAAATTTGGCTCTCAAAAGAAATTTCCATCGTTGTACTGTTGATATTTGGCTCTGTTAACTAATGAGTTTGCCGACCACTGGTCTAGATGAGTCTCAACTGGGCTGACTGGGCACTTCAAGTCTCTGCCATGTATCTGTTCAATGCCAGTAGCTACCTCAGGAATGTCCTCATGGAGATGACAGAAGCACAAGAAAGAGCAAGGCCTCTCAAGTGGTAGACTTAGAAGCACCACACTTGCACTTCTGCCTCATTCACAAATCAGCAAGACCTATGAATTCTACCTTAGAAATACTTTGCACACCTGTCCAATACTCCTTCTATCTTATTGCTACCACCACTTCAGTTCACCATGATCTCTTTTACCTATCACCACCTGATTGCTCTGTCCAAATCTTTCTTGTCCATTCCTTTTCAGACCATTCTCAATGTAGCAATGAGAATAAACTTAAAAAGAAAACCTGCTCTGACCACTCATTTAATTAGGTCTGCCAAATGGTTTCCTATTGTTCTCAGGATAAAGGTGAAAATCCTGACGAAGGCCTGAATTATTTTCAATTTTCAATGGAGGCGTTGTTTTAAAGCAAATAGATGAACCGGGTGAAAGGGAGAAAGAGTGAAGATGGAGTGTGGGAAAGAGAGGCTTTGTAATGACTTCCATGTGAGGACAGCCTGGGACCCCTTTCTCCAACCTCATCTCCTTCCATCCTCTCTTCCACGGTGCAACTTCTTCACTAAGTTAGGCAACCTGCTTTCTGGAAAAGGACTGTTAAGCCAAGACTTTCTTCAAGACCGAGGCCGACCAGAGATGCCTTTTAGTCCACAGGGAGTTCTCCTGTTATTCTTTCAGAGTTTGAGAAGGCTTCTCAGGAGCTAGGCACACATAACCTTATTCCCTGTCTCTTCTCCCCAATTTTCTCAGGTGAATATTTCTGAATATTAGAGACATGGGAAAAAATGACATATTCTCCTTTTCTCTCTCTTCATGTAGGGATTTCACAATTTAATTATAGGCCCCTGTAGAATTCTCTCTCTCTCAGTGATCAACAAGAGGCAAATGTGAGTGCTTCAACCTCAACAACCTCCCCCAGAGGCGAGGGAAGAGGGGGGAGCGCCGCTGGTGGAGGAGGGAGGGAGAGGAGGCCCAGTGTCCCGTTGGTCAGTGTCCCAGCACCATTCTTGGGGCCTTCCTCTCCTCAGCATGCCCCGCCCCCATGCTCCTGAGCACATACCTCTCCTGTACCGGTGGAAGGTGGTGACAGTCACGTCCCCAGTAGCACGGTGGGTCCTCATCTGAACCCCAGAACCATCCCCGAAGTCCATCACCAGACACAGAGCGGCTTCGGGAGTGATTTGAACCCGGAACCGCAGACTCGGAAGTGCCTGAGCATCAGCTTGTGGGAAGCGAGGGGCGACAGGATCCGCAGCGTCCTCAGGGCCCAGGGCTGGGAAGGCAGCAGCGGGACACTGAGCGTGGGGCCGGAGCTGCTGGTGCCCAGGCCGGGGCGTGGAGAGGCTGAGGGTGCAGGGAGGGCCGGGAGGAAGGCCGTGGGGGCTGTGGGGAGAGGGCACAACCTCAGATCTCAGGACAGTGACACATTCCCGGGAGGAATGGGACGCAGCAGGGAGCAGCCGCAAGCAAGGTCTGTGGGGCCTGGTCACGGGCTCACGGTCACTGTTCTCAAAGTGGGTCCCAGCGCAGCATGAACTAGGACAGAGCCTCCCAGCAGCAAGAGGACACTTTCAAGGCCGGGTAAACAGGCCGGGTAAACAGGCCGGGTAGCATCTCAGGGGCACAGTAGGAAACAGCGCCACCTGCGTGGTCCTGAGCCTGTGCCTTGAAGCAGTGGCCAGGGCTGCCACTGCCCCTGACGTGAACAAGGCAGACGCAAGATCCTGGCTCACCGGGCATTCCCCATGGAGGCAGAGAGCCCTCTAGAAGGGACACTGGCCTCCACGCCACTCTCACCCTACCTTCTGGGCCAGACGGCAGGCTGTGAGGTCGGGATGCTGGTCTGAGCAGATGCGGCCGCCTGGATGGGGACCCCCGTGGTGGCATCTGTCCTGGGAAGCAGCTCGGGGGCCAGGTCCTCTGCAGAGCGCAGTGGTCCCACAGCACAGGAGGGGACCTCCACCTTCAGGCTGCAGGGCCCCGCGGGACAGGCGCACTGGAATTCAGGGTGACACCAGTGAGGGTCAGATGGGCGGTGGGGTCTGGGCTGGTGCGTGTCCTCAGCCAGCAGCCAGCAGGGCTCCCGAGCTCAGTGGCTCCGGCGCTGGTGCCGTCCAGGAAGAGGCAGGCTTTCCTACCCTCCGGGGCAGCCAGGAGCGCTCCTGAGCCCGCTGTCACCCCGCGGCTCGTTCAGCAGAACTGGGCACAGTTACATCAGATGTCCACGCTGCGCCCGGCCAGGCGGGTGGAAGTGAGCACTTTTATATCAGCTGTAAACCCAAGTCGACAGCGGTGTCCAAAGGACCAGAACTTCAAAACACGGGTCCCAGCAGGCCCGAGGGTCGCCTGCGCCCCCAGACACCCACCTGGACCAGCTCACAGAAGGCACCGTCCAATCCCCCAACAGCACACATCGCTCGGTGGTGGCAACCCGGGCCACCACTGCTCCAGCAGCCTGCAGTTCCCACGGAAGATCCCTGGGGGCCTCTGGACAGGAGGGAGAGGAAGCCTGTCAGTCTCCCTCCCCGGTGCCGCCCTTGGCTGCTGCTGGGAGAGTGAAGGGCACAGCTCAGAGCTCAGCAGCCCTCAAGGACCCCTGGAGCCTTAGGCAACGCTCCCTCTCAGCACGGACTCCACATGCAGAGCTCACTCCCAGGGCCCCACCCCTGCCCCCTCAGGTGTCAGCGGGGACCCTGCCCTGAGACTCAGGAGCCGCCACCTCCCGACCAGAGCCAGCCCAGGGCCCAATAAACGCGACGGTCCTCCAGGTGCCACTGCTGCCACAGTGACCGCCTGAGTTCATGGACACCACACGGCCACTGTAGTGCTCACACCCTTGTGGCAGCAAAGGGAACACGGTGGCCCTAACTGGTTTGGCTCAGTGGATAGAGCGTCGGCCTGCGGACTGAAAGGTCCCAGGTTCGATTCCGGTCAAGGGCATGTACCTTGGTTGCAGGCACATCCCCAGTAGGGGAGTGTGCAGGAGGCAGCTGATCGATGTTTCTCTCTCATCGATGTTTCTAACTCTCTATCCCTCTCCCTTCCTCTCTGTAAAAAATCAATAAAATATATTTAAAAGAAGGGGGGACATGGTGGCCAATGTGGGGTGTGCTGTCAGTGTCTGGATTAGTCTTTGCTACAGCACAGGCCAGGCAAGGAGGCTCAGACCGGGGTCTCCTCGTCACCACGGCGCCTAAAACAGCAGCTGGGTAGAAGCTCAGTCTGCGTACGGTCCTTTAATCCCAGCAACTCCTGCAAAAAATCCCTTCTCCCTCCATTAACATGAAGGTGGAATGTTCCTCTTGAAAGAAATACTGAATTCATACTTGGAAACACAGCCTTTAAGTCCCCTGGGAACAGGCAGCTCACCTCTCCTGGTCGCCAGAAACTCCCGGGGCCGGCTCCTGGGCCGTGGGGACTGAGGTCTTCCCTGGGGTGGGTCGGTCATAGCTGCGGTGGCCAGCCGGCCGGCTTTGTCCAAAATCCCCTAGGAGACGGTGAACGGGAGCACCTCCTGGTGTCAGAACACGCGCCACACCTCGGACTAAAGGATGCCCAACACCCTCCTGATCACAGATACACTCTCCCCGCCCTCTCAGAGCTCCTCTTATCAAGTGCGCTTTACGCAGCGGTCGTGTGTCTGCCCAAGACAGGCCATCTCTCTGGGCACTGCAGTTTCCGAGGAGGTCCGATAACTGTGGACAAGGACTCGGGGGACAGCTACGGGCATCCTCGCTGCCCCCACCCCACCCCCAGCTCTTAGTTTCATTTGGTGTTGCACCAATCACTCTACCTGCCCCAGGACTGTGTGTGGATTAGTATTTACCCTGAGAAGAAAGGACCAAGAAGACAGGGTGTTTTGTGGCTCAGAATGGCTCCCAGGATGGGGTGGGGGTGGGGGTACTTGGAAGGGTCCAGGGAGGGTGGCTGAGAACCTGTGGGTTCCGGGCCCAGGCACGTTTCTGTGAACTGTTCCCAGGACGTGCTGTCCCCAGAACTCTGACAGGCTAGTGGTCAGCAGAGCGCGGGCCCCTGCAGAGTTCAAGGTCTGTGCTGGGCTGACTGGGGCCTCACGCAGCCACCTGGCCCCTCACAGCCCCCGCCCTCTGGCTCCTTCCCGCTGTGTCTGTTGGGGGTAAACCCCACCCCCTTCAGGAAGTGTGTGCCTTCCTGTCCATGTCCTGTGCCTACAGGAAGGACCACTGCAGACAGGGGCCCCTCTGAAGCCTGCGGTGTCCTCTGACCTGGAGGAGGGCATTACACAGTCTGAAGATTACATGGGGAAGTAGGCCAGAGGTATGCCACGTGGGCAGTCCACAGGTAATGCAGGCTGGGGGTTTGCAAAGGGCTGTCGGCTCTGGTTTCTGCAACAAGGTTGTTAACCTTTCCATGATAACAGCCAGCTCCCAGATGAGGAGGATGGGCTGCGTTTCCAGGTGAGCTCCCAGGTACCGAGTCCCTGCCCACTGAGCTGGCCCCCACCCCACTGGTCAGAGGGACCAGAGGATGACACCCTGCTCTGCCTCTTCCTCCCGGGGGGTCCGGACGTACTCTACACGCCCAGGAGTGAAGTGTGCAGGGCCACACACTTAACCCGAGATGACAAGGAGCAGAGGTGCCAGGACTGAGGGAGAACTGTCCCCGTGTGTCCGGCCCACATGCTGGCCACAGCCACAGAGCTGCCTGAGCTGGATTCAAAATAAATAAGGTTAAGCCCCGCTGGTGTGGCTCAGTGGCTAAGCATCAACCTATGAACCAGGAGGTCACAGTATGATTCCCAGTCAGGGCTCATGGCCAAGTTACAGGCTCCATCCCCGTGTGCAGGAGGCAGCCGATCAATGATTCTCTCATCATTGATGTTTCTCTCTCTCTCCCTCTCCTTTCCTCTCTGAAATCAATAAAAATGTATTAAAACACAATAAGGTTAAGGGGTTAGGGTGAGTTTCTCCATCACATTGGCCACATGTCCAGGGCTCAGTGTCCGGACACAGAGTGACTGTCACCCTGGAGTGTCCTGGTGGCCGGCACTGGGTGGGTGGGGCTGGGGCCTGACCCCACGGTCATCAGCACAGTAGGACCAGGAGCTGCCCTGAAGCTGGACAGTGTCACCTTGTTTCCGAGGCTACTTCCAGGACAAATGTTCCTGGTGCAATTTGTTCAATGGCTCTGAGAAGGGCTCCTTTTAGGAGATCCCCACCCAAGCTCCTCCTTAGGAAGGATCAGACTCACCAGGACTTGACGGGCGGGAGTCCCTGAGGCCCGGATTAAGGGGGTGGGGTGGGGGGGACCGTGCAGGGCAGAAGCCCCGCTGGCAGGAGCCTGGAGCCTCGGGAAGCAAAGCATGCGCCCGGCTACACACCGTCCTTTGTCTCCACTAAGTTGATGAACAAAAGCCTATTTGGATTTTTTAACCACAAATTCTGTATTTCAGGTTTAATGCCCAATGTTCAGTTCTGCTCCTCCTGACTCCATAGGACACAGTACTTAAGAGGCACTAATCAAGAGGACAATTGCTACCTAAGAACGATAAGAGCCCTCCCTGGCACCCAGCCCTCCCTGGCACCCAGCCCTCCCGGGCACCCAGCCCTCCCCGCACCCAGCCCTCCCCGGCACCCAGCCCTCCCCAGCACCCAGCCCTCCCCAGCCAGCACTCGGAGCAGCGCAGTGCCCAGGCACAGTTTGGTCACTACTTGGATTCAGGCAAAAACAAGAGGCAATTGCTAGATCCTGGTGAGAGTCCACGTACCTTCATCTGCGCGGCTCCCAGGCCCAGGCGGCAGGAAGCAGAGCAGCACCAGGGCTGGGACCAGCAGCCTCCTCCCCGGCCCCATGGCTCCTGCCTCCCCATCACAGCCCAGGCGAAGCCGTGAGGGCAGGGCTCTTAAAGGCTTGCCCCTCCCCCTGGTCAGCACCTGTGGACAATCAGCCAACTGTGAGTCCCCCTCAGAAACACTCCTCACCCCCCCCCCACCACCCCCACCCGCAGGGCGGCTTCCCTCAGATCAAAGTGTCCTGAGGGTGTTATGAGTCCTCCCTCCATGGGGCTCAACACAGCTGCACTAAAGTCAACCTGCTCTCCCCCTGGGGTGACGGTGACACAGCTGGTGACACAGCTGGTGCTGTGTCCATCCCAGGACACCTAGAGCCAGTGTCCCAGGTAGAGGACACACAAACCTGCTCCCCGGGACTGAGTGGCCCTTTGTCTGGTGCACTAAAGGCTGTTGAATGAGCACATGGCACCAGGTCCTCTACACCCTCCCACCTCCCCACTGGCTTCAGAAGAAAATGCAACGTCCATCGTCCATCGCTCTGTGTTCAGATGCCCTGACGGTCGTCCCCAAGGGCTCCTGGTCCTTTGGTCCCTGGGAGTGAAGGGATGACTTCCGCCCCACCTGCTCCCTCCGTGCCCCTCCCCCTCTCTCTGCAAAGACACCTGTTGCGATTCCACCTGAGGGACAGGGACCGTCCCAGCACCAACCACTCTCAGCACTGCAGGGTCTAGTGACCATCCTGATTTCCCTCAGACGCGTCAGGGACAGGAAGTCGCCGTGACCACCGCTGCCCTCACCTCATCCCAGTGCATTAGTGCAGGGAGCGTGGCGCACACTCAGGAGAAGTTTTTAGTGTCGGCTCATCTGTGTCACTTCAGCCGGCGCTCAGCCCCACCAGCCTGGCTCTCATCCTTCGTCCTCTTCTTGGGAGTACTTTCCCCTAAAGCCACAGGGAATGAAAACATTATTCAGCCCGGCTGGCGTGGTTCAGTGGTTGAGTGTTGACCTATGAACCAAGAGGTCACGGTTCAATTCCTGGTCGGGGCACATGCCCGGGGTTGCAGGCTTGACCCCAGCAGGGGGCTTGCAGGAGGCAGCCGATCAATGATTCTCTCTCATCAATGATGTTTCTATCTCTTTCTCCTTCTTCCTTCCTCTCTGAAATCAATAAAATTATATTTTAAAAAACAACACACAAAACAAACATTATTCAGTAGCAATACCTGATGTCTTAAGACAGGACAGAATCCTCTGGAAGTCTTTGCCATCTGGGTCACCTCACCACGTGATGCGAGTCCAGCACAGTGTCTGCTGTGTGGGGTTCGGGACCAGCCCACATCCACAGATGGCCCCTCGACACCCCAGGGCCAAGCTGGAGCCACCCCTGGATCCCACACGTCCAAAATGGAGGGTCCCATGTCCTCAAGGCGCAGGAGAGTCACCAGACACTGACCTCACATTCCTGACGCACAGGACCGTGTGCTGTAGAGGTTGACGCAGTGGAGCCAGGGCTGGGGGGGTGAACGGGGGGGCGGGGGCAGGCACAGCCATCACTCCTGCTGCTCCTCCTGCCACCTCCGGGGCTGCCATCCCTGAGATCCCCAGATGGGTATCACTTAGTCGACAGCATGCCGAGCGGAGGGGAACGACAGCTGGCTTAGGATGTTGTAAAAATTGCATGGAAACCAGCTTCACCACAGCAGATTTGAAACTAAGACGCTTTCCAGGTTCCTAAAATGATTGGTGGGTGTTAACTTTGACATGTATTACTCATTATCCCGGCCACTTAGCCACAGTGCGGGAAAGGGCTATCAATGAGACAGAATTCTGAGTCCTGATCCCATCCCTGCCACTGGCTGGGCAGGTCCCTTAACCGGACCTGCCAAGTAAAGGAGCCGCAGGGCAAACCCCGAGCGAGCGGCTGCGCTGCCTGCCTGTCCTCCGGGGATGGCACCCCGGACAGAGGCACATGCTAGTTCTCGAGGGAAGAACAGAAGAGCCGCTCTGAGTGATGCAGGTGAAGAGGCCTTTCCACTGTTAACGCACCTTCAGCAGCAACCTGGGGGCAGAAGGGCCGCCAAGGGCTCCCAGGGACAGAGGCCGGCAGACAGGGGAGCCCAGGGTGCAGAAGTGCTCAGGTGGGTCCTGCAGGGCCTGTGGCCACACGTCGCTGAGCTGGAGACAGTACCTGGGAAGAAGCGCCATGTCAGCAGTTGTTAGTCCAGGAGGGCTCACAGCTCCAATAAAAGGCCTGTGTAAAGTCTGGATGGATAATTCCCTTTCAATTCCTTAACAGCAAAACAAAACAGACATGAGAACAAAGAAGTAATGATAGGGGCAGAAATAGAGTATTTGGGGACCAGCTATAATTGTAAGAAATATTAATCATGCTCTGTTACCCGTGATTGTTTTATTCTGATTAAAGGAGGCACATTCTAACCTGCTGGGAGTTGCACTCGGTACCTGGGAGCTCACCTGGAAATGCAGCCCATCCTCCTCATCTGGGAGCTGCCTATTATCATGGAAAGATTAACAACCTTGTTGCAGAAACCAGAGCCGACAGCCCTTTGCAAACCCCCAGCCTTTGCATACTCCAGCCTTTGCATACCTGCAGGCCTTTGCAAATCTCCAGCCTGCATTACCTGTGAACTGCCCATTTGGCATACCTTTTGCCTACTTCCCCATGTAATCTTCATCCTTCTACCCAGTATAAGCAGCTGGCTTATGGTGGAGGCAGAGCAGATGTTTGTGGGTGACCTGCTGCTCTCCCATGCTGCCAGCAGTATTGGGATAAACGTTCATATGACTCAACCCTGTCTCTGCTGAATTGGCTCAAGTCGTGACAGACAGCATGGACCCATTGATTGTCTGGTTACATATTCTGGCAACCACGAAGGGACGTAAGCAAGGGACTCCTCTGGGGTGGGTACTGGGGATCCCGCTGCCTGGACTGGGGGTTCCTGGGGCTGCGGCCTGGACTCTTATTTGCAGCACTGCCAGGTATTGTCCTGTTTTGAGTCCCAGCTGCAGCCTCAGCAATCCCGTCTCACCTAAGACCTAAGTTGGATCAAGCGTGTTTGTGACAGGAGAAATCAAGCGTTTGTACAGCAGGAGGCGCAGTTGCTGCCTCTCTGCGCTTCTTTGTAAGGCCTGTGTATGGTGCCGAAGGTATTTTAGTGCCTCTCGTCTGGGCGAGCCTGATCAGCTGTGTGGCAAGAGACCTCCGGTGGTCCTTGCCTGGTCTTGGAGCTCTTAGTCTGGTCCACTCTGGGACGAGAGACATTGCTCTGCTTCAGTGGTTGTTTCTATGCAGGGCATTCTGAGGTTTCTATGGCTGGATAGACAAGGAGCATGGTGTGAAGCTCTTGCCTGTGGGTTGTGCGCGCCTGTAAATATTGTACAGAGTGTCTCTGTTGTTGTTTTGTGTCTTTTGTTGTTTGGTTTGTTAACGATGGGGCACATCCCACTCTGGGGAGCCCACTGCTGGCGGCAGGCGGAACCCGTGGCAAGGATTACAGGAACGTCCCAGCAGCTGCTCAGAGTTCTTACTCAGGGGACCTTCCTTGCTCTCCCACTAAGGCATCAGCCGCTGGAAACTCTTAGCTAGTGAGGGTTCTTGTCTGTCTGTAACCTAACTTTGGTTACTGATATGCTTTGCTTGCTCTATAGAATAGGATTTACAGACGTACTGGCAGGAAAAATCAGGAGAAACAAAAATTGATTATGGGACTGAATGAACTGAAAATATATAGCTTTTGTAACTTTTGTTAAAAGTATTGCTGATTCTTAAACTTTGTTTTTCATATATAAGGAAGCATTTTGAAAGCAAATGGTAAATTACATATTTTTCTCCCTACCTGATCCCTCCAGAATTTGGCAATTCTTAATCAGTAAGTCACAGCAATACGTTCCTTTGCATGAATTCAGTAAGACCAGTTTCCAGCCAGAACCGGTTTGGCTCAGTGGATAGAGTGTCGGCCTGTGGACTCAAGGGTCCCGGGTTCGATTCCGGTCAAGGGCATGTACCTTGGCTGCGGGCATATCCCCAGTGGGGGGTGTGCAGGAGGCAGCTGATCGATGTTTCTCTCTCATCGATGTTTCTGGCTCTCTGTCCCTCTCCCTTCCTCTCTGTAAAAAATGAATAAAATATATTTAAAAAAAAAAAGACCAGTTTCCAATTGTGGTTTTATTAACAAAGACTTAGGAATGTCATGTCTAACATGCCTGGACTCTGGGTGTCCCCAGAAAGCTTTAAGGAATGAGGCCAATAAAAGCCCCTGGAGAAAACTTCGTCCCTTGTTGGTCACCTGGTTCACGCAGTCTTTCCAGGTAAAGCAGAAAGGCTGCTTTCCTGAGAAATGGCAAGGAAGGAACCTCAAGACATCATTGGGGACCTCAACTCGAGGAATTCACCCAAGTCTACAGGTATTGCAGGCAAGCCTGATGGCCGCTAGGTGGCTCAGCTTCTTTGCCTTGTAGGGCTAAGTAAAGCTAAATCATGAGATTCCAACAAAGCATTTTTTTAAAAGTCTATATGATCAATTGTTATTTTTATTGTGTTCATGCAAACAATCAAGCTAAATTGTAACTAGACTTAATACAGTAAGTAAATTGGTCTTAATTTGGCTCTTTAATAAAAATGAGGGTGACTTTAGGGGAAAAAAATGTGTTTCAATAGGGAATTATTAGAACTGAAATGTTTTTTCCTTTCACCAGACTATTTGTTGTAATTTTTGCTATTCTAACTTTTGCCCAGTAATACTAAATTTTATAACACAGTTCGTCTCCACCAGATTACAAGCCCTACTTGTACTCAAGGAAACCACCTCTAGACACCATTGCCACCTCCTTCTGTGCCTAGGCCTCATTGTCCTTCTGACAGAGAGCAAGGATCTCTTGACTCTGAAACAAAACTTTGTCCCTCCTCAACATGAAGTAGTTTCTGAAGAGAACCTAGGTCCCTTTCCCATGAAAGATTTCAGAGCCAAGATCCTTGTGGGGAAGATGTGGTAGCAGTTAGAATGAGCAGAGCAAGGACGATGGGCCAACCGGAGGAGAAATGGACGGGACCCTGAGACATGCTTCTCACCACTCCCACTGCACTGACGCTGGCTGTGGAGGGACCTATGCAGACGGACCTTTACATTTTGCCTAGTGGGACAACTATTGCTAATATGTAAAAATTATTCTATTCATTTTGGGAAGAAAGTCACATACGGGGACTTTTCTATGTTGGGACCCACTGTCTGGGGAAAGGGTGCAGGGATGTTTTCTTTCAAAGTTGCTGCAGTGGCTTCCTGTGTGGTATGTCTTTTACTGGGTGTTCTAGCTATTGTCTCTCAGTATTAATAACTACAATATGAATTGTTCTGATAACTTCACCCTCCCTTATAGTAATGGACATACTAAGCTGCCGGCCGGCTGGTTTCTGATATGTGGGGTGACTGTTTACTCATATATCCCTGCCAACAACACCGAGGGGCCTTGTTCCTTAGCACAACTAGTCTTTATGCCCCAGAAACATAACAGGGTCCGAACCAGAAGAGACCTTCTCACGGCCATGGCACCAGACTGCGATGACCACCTCCCCCTGTGGAGCCCTGCTGACTATATTGCTTTAACCATCTTTGTTGTGCCAGGAATGGTAGGCCCCTTAATGTAGAAGTGACCCGGCTAGCCTGTAGCAGGGTAAAGGCGCTGAATGCCACTTCCAGGGCCATACAGGGGATAAATCAGGAGCTGAGCCAGGGGAGGGACACAGTTCTAGAGAATTGGGCAGCAATAGATTACTTACTGTTGCGGCATAACCATGATTGTGAGGAATTTAAAGGACTGTGCTGTCTTAATCTTCCTGACAATTCTAGATAGAAAACAACATTCAACAAATTAGAGAAACCATCTCCAAAGTAAAACACAAGGTTTGTTTTGTGTTTTTTATGGATTTGACTTCACCAACCTAACTTCCTGGCTACCTAACCTGTTTGGGATGTGGGAATTCTCTTAAATTTTTCTCCTGTTTATTTTTTGTAATCTGATAGCTTACTGCTTTATTCAATCTCTTCCGATTTTGAGACCCTGTATTCCATCCCCAAGAACTGCTATCAAGGCAGAAGCAAATGCAGTCTGGCAGGATGAGATTTTTCATCTAAAACAAATCTCATAGATATGAGATGGTAAAAATAGCAGTGGGGAAATAATACGGACATAAATGGAATACTGGGGACCAGCTATAATTTTAAGAAATATTAATCATGCTCTGTTAACCGTGATCGTTTCATTCTGATTAAAGAGGGCACATTCTAACCTGGCTGGGAGTTGCACTCGGTACCTGGGAGCTCACCTGGAAATGCGGCCCCTCCTCCCCATCCCAGAGCTGCCTATTATCATGGAAAGATTAACAACCTTGTTGCAGAAACCAGAGCTGACAGCCCTTTGCATACTCCCAGCCTTTGCATACCTGCAGGCCTTTGCAAATCTCCAGCCTGCATTACCTGTGAACTGCCCATTTGGCATACCTTTTGCCTACTTCCCCATGTAATCTTCATCCTTCTACCCAATATAAGCAGCTGGCTTATGGTGGGGGCAGAGCAGATTTTTGTGGATGACCTGCTGCTCTCCCATGCTGCCAGCAGTACTGGAATAAATGCTCATATATGATTCAACCCTGTCTCTGCTTAATTGGCTCACGTAGTGACAGGCAGTGCAGACCCATTGATTGCCAAGTTACAATAATATGAAGTAACATGTTTATTCAACTATTTCATTAATTTAATTTCTAGTTAAATTATCATGGAGGGAAAAATAAGGGAAATGTACAGAATTTGTGCTGCTGTGAGGACATATTGACAAACGACTGAGCACATCACCCCGTGCCTCTCCGGGTCATGGCAATGGTCTCCGGGCCCCGTGCAGTTGGCAGTGCTAGGACAAGGCCGGGATGAAGTACTGGAGGGACACGTCCTCGTGGAGCAGGTCAAAGTGCACCATCTTGTGACTCACGATATCTGGGGACAGAAAACACCCATCACTATGGAGCCTCTGCGCACAGGGCTGCTCCCTGAATCCTGGACCCACTGAAGGTGACGTCTGCTCCAGGAACGCCCAGCCCCCATGGGATGGTCTGCGAAGGTACCGCCAGGTGAAGGGCAAACTTCACGCAGAGGCACAAGGCAGATGGAGCGCCCCAGACGAGGAGTGATGGCAGAGCGAGAGGACCCAGCAGCCAGGACCCATGACCACAAGACGTGGAAGACAGAAGCACTTCCAAGCAAAGTCAGTCTCCTTTCAGGGGCTGTGATGTCAGCGGCAAGGAGACAAGTGAGCCCTTCCTCAGATACAGGGAACGAGCGTGCTGCTCAGGTACAGGGAACGTGTGCTGCTCAGGTACAGGAACGGGCGTGCTGCTCAGGTACAGGGAACGTGTGCTGCTCAGGTACAGGAACAGGCATGCTGCTCAGGTACAGGGAACGTGTGCTGCTCAGGTACAGGGAACGTGTGCTGCTCAGGTACAGGGAACAGGCGTGCTGCTCAGGTACAGGGAACGAGCGTGCTGCTCAGGTACAGGGAACGTGTGCTGCTCAGGTACAGGGAACAGGCGTGCTGCTCAGGTACAGGAACGAGCGTGCTGCTCAGGTACAGGGAACGAGTGTGCTGCTCAGGTACAGGGAACAGGCGTGCTGCTCAGGTACAGGGAACGTGTGCTGCTCAGGTACAGGGAACAGGCGTGCTGCTCAGGTACAGGGAACGAGTGTGCTGCTCAGGTACAGGGAACGGGCGTGCTGCTCAGGTACAGGGAACGAGCGTGCTGCTCAGGTACAGGGAACAGGCGTGCTGCTCAGGTACAGGGAACGAGCGTGCTGCTCAGGTACAGGGAACAGGCGTGCTGCTCAGGTAGGGAACGGGCATGCTGCTCAGGTACAGGAACGAGCGTGCTGCTGAGGCAGGTGTGCTGCTGAGGACGGGCCGACCAGAGCCAAGGGAGGGGTCAAGAGGACACAGACGTCGGCTTGAGACACAGGAAGAAGCCTAGGCATCGTGAGGGGAACCTAAATCCAAGCCAGATGGTGTCAGGGCTGCACATATGTCAGCTCAGATGTTCTTCAGATTAACAGGACGGTCAGCGCATTCTTCCGCAGCCCCTCTCTGGGTGCAGAGACCATGCCTGACGCCCGGTGAGACAGCACAGCCCCACCTCTGTTACCTCTGAACCCGGGGAAATCCCAATCATCTGCCGGCCCTGGAAAATCAGAGGCCACATGACCCAGCCACCATGCATTTACGAGACCACAAGCCAGCTGAGACCACAGGTGACTCAAGCGTGTGAAATGTGAAAACAATCACAGGCACACTCACTGCAGACGCCCCTTGTGGGATTCACTTGTTGTCCAGCAAGAAACTGCAGGAACTTCCTGATGTCCACCTGCACCTCCGCCATCTGCTCTGGGCTGCGGTCCTCAGACTCGTTTTCAGAGGCTAAAATGACAGAAACGTCTAGATGTAAAAGCAGACTGTTTGCTTAAATAAATGAGCTGCATTACCCTGATGTTAGCATACTGGACAAAGAGTGCGAGATGGAGATAGGACCCTTTGTTAAGCAAGAACTTATTAAATCCTGACTCTGAAATACTATGTCAATTTCCAGGAAATCTTCACTTCCAGGGCCTTGAAACATGACCCAATCTCCCCCTTTAGGTCCAAGGAGACGGCATCCCTTAGTACACGTGTATAGTTAATGCTTCGTACGCTTATGGACGGCTAATCAAGGCCTCTCATTCCAGAGCGGAAAGAGTCCTTTCAACCATGGAAAGCATCAAGGTAAGAAAACCCTCTTTCTTGTTTATTAAAACGAACACAATGAGGCAGACCAGAAGAAGTCCTCTCCCTCAGCATTACCAAAGCTTGGACCACATGGGCCTCACTCTCCCCACAGCACCCTCCACTGTGAAGGCCCGGCCCCAGAGCGATGCTAAAATGTGCACAGCAACCCTGGCGTGAGACGTACCAATTCTGAAAGTGGAAGGGCCCAGCATAACTGTTTGGGACACACGCGTGACTGAAAGGGTTTCAGGTCACTAGCAAACGCATTCCCCAGGTCCTTGGCCTCTCCCCCTCCACCCGCCCCACCCACACTGTGACTGCAGCACAGGCCTCCAATCCATCCATCAGCCGTGCTCACCACTCACTGAACTGATTCCGTGGCCTATCACCTCGCAGGAGACAGGCAATCTGCTCACCTGAGAAAAGTCTGCATTGGCTCATCTAGTGCTCTAAGTGTTAGAGACCCAGGAGGAGGGAAGGAGAAACGTCATCTACCTTCCAACTGTGCTCCAGGTGGGAACGTGCCACCTTTAGTCGCAGCAACAGGGATTTAAGAGCTGGGATGGCGCCACGTTTCCAGACCGAGCCCACCCTCCAGCCAGGCACACTCATGCCCAGGAGGCCCGTCTCTCCAGGCCACTGTCCATCCAGCAGCACGTAAGCCAGCCCGTCGCCTGTCTCCCCAAGCATAGAACGGTCTCCCGAATTTCAACCTCTTCCCGTTCATTCAGAGGCCTCAGGAAGGTGTGAAACAACTTCTCAGAAGCAAAACACAATCTACCAGAAAACCTACCGGATGGCGGATTCCCAAGATCTTTAAAGTGAGTTGTAACGCACACTAGTTCCGACTCTATTTTCAGGTTCAAGTCTCCATTGAGGTTTGCTTCAATAATCTGCAAGTGGAGTATTTCACAAAGTCTTAAAAAAGAAAAGGAAAGCAAAAAATAATAATATAATAAAGTAAGA